ATAATATGAAAAACTTTGTACTTCAACGAGAAAATACGAAGATGGACTTACTACTGTCGGATACGTTTTGACATTTGACACACTGGAAAATTTAAGGACGACTAATTGTAAATTTATACAGAACTAAACTTTTAAAGATACATTAGTTAAGAGTTTAATAAAGAATTCAAAAACGAAAATGTTAAAAATTTCAGCCAAATTACTTTATTTTGAACGGAGTTGTCACTGTTGGAAGTTTGACTAGAAATAGACATCAACTGTCTCCGCACCGTCTCCGAGAGTTGCCGATCATTGACAGACGATAACTCCACGCACATATTCTCGATTATCAAGTAACATTCTCAATGGCTACGGTACCCTCGATTGGCAGGCCTTTAATCGACAATCTCCGGTAGTAACGTCAGTGACTAACGATAAACGTTAACAGTCAGCCATTTATTGATTTAATTATTAAATGGACGACTGTTTAAATCCAAGTTGTATCCAAGCCACCGAGGGTCTATAAAGTTGATTTTGAGCTTTTCATGTAAATAACGGTCCAATTAATAATTTCTATAACATCTGAAGCCTAAAGTAAGACCTGCAATAGGCAGATTTAGCTCTTAACTATTCTGTTGTGATCTGAGCTTTATCTTCTCGCAAATGTTTCAAAATGTACTCATCTTCCGTTAATGGGTTATGAATTTATGGACGAATTTATTGACTTGAATTTGTTTTGTACTGCAAATATTATGTTAATTAGGTCTGAAGATCCTCTAACTAATATTACTGAGCTACACCCCAAACTACATAACGTAAATTAACCAATTACTTAGCAAAGGGATCCACGTTCTCATATGCATAGCATTTTCATGAATAATCATTATGATGCGCGGTATAATTACAACATTAGTTATAGGTAACTGGCACCAACCATTCAACAATTAGTTATAAATGAAAACAACTATTATTTCCTAGATGTGTTATAAATGCGTGCAACTACTGCAACCTTAAACCTAATGTGGAAGAGGATACTGTGATAATGTTTATATGTTTCAGCTTCAGTGGTCTGTAAACGATGCCGTAAAACAATTGAGTATTTGTTTACATAACTAGTGGTTACAACTTAATTAACTGTGATTAAGACAACGTCAGACACTACCTCTCTCTGTATTTTAAGTTCCACCTCAAGTCTAAAGTTCTTACAGAAACAGGATCTTTAAACCTTAATGTTTTATGATCTCGCTCTCCCAAGCAATGCTCTAACCCCGATTATCATAAGCATATTCCATTGTTCTATTACCGTTTCTCGGTTAAAGATTTCAAGAGGGTCGGTTGTCGGATTGGCCCTATCAATGTAACCTGTAAGTTCCTGTTAGGTACATGTAACATTAGCAACGTCATTACTGTATCCATGCAATCTGATTAAAACACAGATATTTTGTTTAGTTTTTTATAGTTCAAAATACGTTTTACTGCCATCAAAAGTATAAAAAACGAAATGAATTATAGATCTGTATTTTAATCAGATTGTGTACCCATGGTAAAAACCGATTCCATACGTTAATTTGATATCTTATATGTCGCAAAAAACACGAACAAGTGGTTATTTTGAATATAATTATAATATGTGGTCGATGGAACTAATTAAATTTAGTTTGCCGCTATTATACGGACAACCGGGTATCTGTTACTGTGTGAATCTAATAGAATTGATAATATCAAGACGTTAAGGTATGAAACACGAGGCATATTATACATTTTGGTTGATATGGCAATTCCTACAACAAATGCTAAAACCGACGCATTCCTAAGACCAAGAGGGACCATGACTCCGTACGTTTTGATGAATTCAAAGCAATAGTTAATAGTCGTGTGTTTCTGATAAAAAAAAATTTTTCCAACATACATTTATTTTTGAAATTATAAGGAATTTGGTAGCCGTGTATGAGCCGCGATTGGCGTTTCAACGTCTATAATATAATGTTCAAGAAATCAGAACGAAATTTTAACGTGTTTCTGTCATGTAAGAGATGTGTAACAAACAATGGGTATTTCCAAATAAAATGTCTGTTGACTACAACTGATTGTTCATTTCATTTATCAAAGCTTCAGAAACTCTATGTTTATTATGTTTCCATGTTCAGATAAAAAAAAACAACCCAAAATCTAGATTTAGGTAATACCACAAGAGATGTAATCGCTGACGCCATACCTGATAAACTGTTATCTGTGAATAGGTGTACATTACATATATTACATACCCCGAAGTGTCTTTTTTTTCTACTTTAACACTTTATTAAACTCGGCGTTTATTCTGGAAATTACTTGGCAGCAAATGTCTACCTGAGGCTCAATTCCGAGAGCCGTGGAATACATTAACGTGTATAATTATGTGTAGACATATGTCATGTTAATTAGTTCTATGTGTTTATATGGTGAGTGTGTCTAAGTAAGCTGTATAGGTGTAACTGTATACCTACATATTGTTTACATGTATACACACAACAGCCGGCAGACATTGTGCTGAATCAACGATATTAACAATTATATAAACATCTAGAATTCGATTTATATAATGATTACGTTGGAAAATTCTACCAATCGTATATTTTTAATACATTTGTCCTACATAACCATCAATTGATTTGACTTGCATATTTAATCTTGCAAGAAATTATCTTCAAGGGCACAAAAGTCAAGGTGATACAAGTCAGGAATTAAATTGCGGAACCGCGGTAATTGATACATTATTATAATCGAAACCAGGCAAGTAAACATACTTGTTATAGAAGCAGAATAAATCTGAAAGCTTATTTACATTAGCCGACGTAAAGATATGTGGCCGTAATACTATTTACGCCCTTTCGTATCAATATTATGTAAAGTATTTCCAAATTAAGGTGAAAGTCCTGTGCCATTCTTTTTCACATTACGGTTATCATCCTTTAAATTAATTACCATTTTCTCACAAATTACAAAACACTTATGTCCTGTAATGGCTCGTAGATTAACCATTTACATTTTGTTTCGGAACAGATGGTTGGTATTAGACTTCTCAGGTAACTTTTAGGGCACCAAACTGTTCCACTATATATATTTGGGTTTGCAATAGATGGTTTAGCCGACTTGTGTCACCAGACGAGTATGTGTGTGTGTGTGTGTGAAATAGCTATATTTAACGTCCGCTTCCACCGAGGTGATATCGCAACCGATGTATTCTCATATCTCAATATTGAAATCATGTGTCACAGTCACTAAAAGCTTGAGTCCAAAACATTTCACATTTTCTGAACACTGACATCCTTTACCCGACATACTAAACCGGATGCTTAAAATCAGGTTCTTAACTTTTATATGAATTATCACAGGGAAATATATTCGTTAAATTATAACTTATAAAGGAAGTCAGCTGTATCCCACAAATCACACACGTGTCCCGTCATTAACAAGTTTACACAATAATAAATAACCTTTGACCTTTTCATATATATTTCGGTGTTATTCCAAACAAACATACCCATCATGTCCAGATTTAAACTAGATAAAACACGGATTTTCTTTTTTTTTTAAATTTTGATTCACAACATTGGTTGTTTTTTTATTAATCTTTATATCTATATTATGTAGAAGGCGTTAGAATGAAAAGCGGTATATTTAAGGAACCTTTCACTATTTTAAAGTATCTTAAACAAATATTTCTCAAATGGCTGCCACTGTATGCACACAAATTGACCAATAATTAATTATTCTGGACTGGATTACATTTAGATAATTAACATATTAAACAATTCATTAAGTAGACCAACTAAGCAATTAATCCCTCGCTGTGCGATGACAAATTGGGGTCGTATTGGATTATGCTTGTGTGTCTTTCTACAGCGAGATACGAACTAGCTATTGGTATAAGACAGGGAGAGTATGTTTGGGGTTACTTATTATTATATGTTTATTATGACCAATACAATTAGGACATGAAGACACACCTGTTCATAGAAGCAGTAAGAAGGGTTAATATCTCTAATGATAAGATACCGCAATAACTACATCTTGTTCAAATAAAGATTGGTAAATAGAAGCACTGTGATGCAGATGTATAAAGGTATAAAGTAATTATGATAAGAACCAACCAAAATCGCTAAATCAAAACTTCAACCACTTAAAGTCTCTTTTTGATAAACAAGTAGGTTTATAGACATTAACACCATTATGAACTTTAAAAAGAGAGAAAATATTTCATGTAGTAAAAAAAAAAAAAATAATCAAAACCAATAAAAATCAACAGCTACGACTTCTATTCCAAAACTATAAAATCGGATATCCAATCTATGCTGAAACTTAATTCAGGAAAATGGAGGATATCAGAAAAAAATAGAAAGCACAAAACGTCTATTTTTACGAAATTCAATATTTGGGTGTTCGCAAAATATGTATTTAAAACAAAATCTTAACGCTGGTGTGTGATCTATGCATTTTTTTTATTTGACCTATATATTATTATTACATGGCGAAATATAGTCATCCACCTAAAGACAGGTAGATATACTTTATGTATAAAATACTTATTACACAGTTTGATTGACGTTAAAATCAACAAATCTTACTATTTCTGTGGCATCTGTTCTCATATGTCACAATATATCAACATCTAATTCAAACTACATAATCTCTCAATTAAACATCTAAGCTTTTTTAGTATTAAAATACACTATTTTTTTTTTTCTCAAAAATTAAAAATACAAATTGAAAATTACGTGATAAATCAATCTTATATCAAATATTCGTCCATGTCCAATATGTGTATCGTCACGGTTTATGTTTTGATATGAAGGGGATGTCTGCGCACATTTCCTTGGATTCCGTTTCTTCCGGTATCAAGTTTGACAGCTACACACATTGAAACAAGACGCCTTTTTTAAAAAGTTGACTAAGGGTAAGAAAACTTGGTTAGGGAATGGGAAAATTTAAAACTAGGTTCGGAAAATTAGAAAGAAATTAGATTAAAATCAGGTAGATTTTACCTACCTACACAAAGATATTTCCTATTCCCATAAACCCTAATAAAACTCCACTCCGTGCGCTCTCCTAGTTGAGTGTGGCAGCCATAGATCGAATAGAAGAAAGTATTACAAGCATGTAAAAAATCCTGTCAGTAGGAACGTAACCCAATACGAACGACACGCTTGCCATATATGTAACTCATCCAATCCGCGTGCCAGACGAGTAAAATCTAGGAGCACGCGACCCCTGATTCCATATAAAGACAGCGCATTGACCAATCATAGAGTTGCCATTGATGCTAGTTACCGCAAGAATCGGTACACAGTCTTACCGAACAACATGGAATTGTAAGTCGAAACAACATCAATTTATCGTATGCATTTCTTCGCGCGCGTTTGCAGTTTGCGACATGATTTTTTGGTGGATGTTTTGAAGATATTTATAACCTGTGTGTGTCATACTTGGTTATTGATTGCGAATTTGGGTGGGAGATGTAAAGATATGTATTGTATAATTATTATTCGATGAGTATTAAAGAAGCGCTATTACCATGATACATAGAATGTAGATATATCTAGACCAACAACCTGCTCCAGAACCTACACCATCTTATAGTGGTTTGAGTGACATGCGGGTTTTGACTGACAGGCGGGTATATCGGCTCATCGACTGATAAATTCCATGTTTACAATTAGTTTACATTACCTACCTCTGTTTAATTTCTCTTTATTTTATCAGATTTTAATCAAAAATCTTAAGAATCAAGATTTCGCATTAAGCACCTTATCGACGTTGATTCACACTGACAGTTTTAGTTTTGCTGCCTATTAGCTTTGCAGATATTTAAACAAAGTAGGCACATACACTTTACAGTTCTAAGTCATTTACAATATTTAAAGAGTCGACAAAATCAATAATGCCGCTTAAAATAGAATAACCTACAAGAAAATGAGATAGATCTGCAATTGTAGATAACCGAATGGTTTACAAAATAGCATTGATTACTATCGTATTTCACAGGAATGCAAATCAACAACTATAAAGTCTGCATCCAGATACTAACCAACAATTATGGTAATCAACAAATAAAAGATTTGCGAGAAAAGGTGACATATATACAGGAGCTTCTGTTCGCTGTTACGGGCCAACATATATTAATAAAGCAAGGGAATGAATGAATGAACTATAATATATGAACTTGCGGTTTAAAGTCCTAATTTATTGCTCCGACCTGGACAACGAAGGCGGGCACACAGCAATTGAATTCCAATGGTTCTTTTACGTGCACACCAAGGTGTGGATGTACACGGGACATAGGTTTCTTGGTCCCATCCGAAAGACTAGACGCTGTTCCTTGCCAGGTCCTCCACCCTTCACCAGTAAACCACGCCGGAAAATCCTGAGGAAAATTTCTGGGCCTACAACGAGATAGAACCCGGGGCCTCCAGGTTAGCGAACCTGTGCCTTACTTACTGAGCCACCGCGGCTCCGCAGGGGAATGAAAGTAAAACGACCAATGCCCACCCGAAATAAGTAAATAAAGATTTCCAAAAAGTTTAATATGAATAATGAAATGTTTTAACAATTGGATTCATAGAACACCGTCGGAACACCAATTACTAAGAAGAATGTTGATACTTTAATACATCTGTTTAACTCACGTGCAACTAATGACTGATATTAAACGATTGAAATTAAATTAGATTTAAAATTAAATGTCAATCACCGATTGTGAAATAACTAGTGGTCGATAAAGGTATGTGGGGTGGGGTGGGGATTGGCTAGGCAGTATAAAATTCCACTAATTATTCTGTTTCTATGACACGTGTCAATTTGGGCTTTCTTTTGGTTTGATGATATAGAATGTTATATTCGGGTATAGATAAAAACCACAAATCACCATTGATATCAAAATTTACTCGGGGGAAATGACCCCATCCTCGCCTAACCAAATATGCTGCGTCGCCATTGGAATCAAGCGTAAATATTTGAAAAAATATTGATTAAAACGATATATTCTATTTTAGATAAGATCTGTGTTAAATATACATTGTCAAAAATGTAAGGATTAAAAAAAACACTTTAAAAATTATATTTATATTTCAATACGTGTAATGAATTTTATGATATAAGAAGAAATATCAGCAGATCATTTGATGTAATTAAAACCTACCGTTTATCTATAGTAGGCGTGTTACCAATTAACTGATGACGTAATATTATGTAAATGATTGTGGGTAGTACTTAGACTGATTAGATCAGTAAAGCTATATATTATGTCTGTTAATTTCTAGTAGCTCATATTACTATACATACATACATACTTACATGTATTACACATTACACATCATTAAATCATTGATATTACAGATATCAGATTCAATCAAGATTAACTATTTCCCTCTTGGAAGCAATATTCACTTTCTTTCTTTTTTGCATAAATAAAAAGTAAGAACTCTTGCTCTTTAATGATATATTTAAAATTAAGGTAGCATTCCTGATTGCATAACATTAAAGAAATGGTGAATGGTCAAACTATATGTTAGAACATCCACCCCGTCAATTCAAAACCAACTTTTATACAAGATGAAATTCAATCAGGTGTTTGAAGTTGTAATTCTCCCCATATCAGCCAAACAGGCCATATCAACTTTATTTGATCAGATCTAAAGGCCCGGTCCCACTGCACTTACGGATGCAAAGAGGATGTAAAACGGGGGAAAAAACGTGCCCCACGTTTGAAAACGCCATGCATCCGTTGTGTACTCATTGCATACGTGTTTCATACGCTCTATCCATCGAGCATCCGTTCACTTTGATTTCATCCGCGCAAACAGTTTTGAGCTGCACAAATCTTTTATAACGGATGAACTTTCTGTCGTGTACGATGTAAATGCGCGACATATACGAGCTCCAAACATTCCATGTTCGTTATCATCCGTTAAACGTCCACTGTATCCTCTATGCATCCTCTGGGCATCCTCGCAACTCACATCCGCTCCAGCTGAAAACGGAAAGAGGGAGGAAAGATAAGGTACATGGAACGTCTATACATCGTTAGTAGCACGGAAATAGAAAGGATGTAAGCGTATGCATCTCGTATATAAAGTTTTCAAAACGGACAAAGCGCTTGTATCTGGTATATTGAAGGATCATCCGCTTTCATACGCTAGGCTTCCGATGAACATCCATTTAACATCCCCGCTACATACTTCCCACGTTCGTTCTTTTCCATTCTGTTTTCGCAAATTTTCGTCAATTTTGTCCATTTCTGGAGCGGATGAAAACGGATGGAGCCATCCCCGAAAGTTTGCTCTTCCGCTGTGTCCTTTTTGCATACGTTGTGTGTCCATCGGCCACTGGGACCGGGCCTTAAGATGTGTCACCTAATCAAGTTCTCTATAAAATAGTTTGAAATCCAATAACCAGTTTGATGTGATACGGTGTTTATCTGAGCAAACGCATCCCACCAACATTTCTACTAATTTGATCTAAATTCTTGAAGTGGGATTTGCAGAAGAACTCCAAAAGGCAAAATGACCCCAAAATATCCCCCACCCTCCCAACTCTCCTTATCCTTCAAACTCTGAAGTACATTCGATTTGTTTAATCCGTAGGGTTTAGAATATTTCGGAGAATTTCAAAGATTTCCATTCAGCCATTCTATAGAAGAATATTATGGTATTTGCCTTTTTTAAAGGGTTTCCGTCCAGTCCCCAGGGGGTTGCACAACTTCGATTGAAAAAAATGAATAAGTTCCACCTAAGGTTTGTAGAAATTAAGTGGTTTCGAGGAAGTTGATGTTAATAAAAGTTGACGATGGATATGTCATATGTCCGGTCATAAGGAGCTACAATATACAGTAAAAGATTGTTGTAAATATGCCGTTTGCCCTTTTCCGGGAAAGATTCTAATTTTAACGAAAGTAGTCAAAGTCAAACAGAAAAGCGACCGTCTTCGCTATATGGAATCCGAAGTCAGCTGTTTAACAAAAATGCATGGTCTTCTGGGATCGTGCTGACACGTACTTGTAGCTGCCAGGGTGATCTTCACGTACGCACAACTATAGTTATATAGCTGAATGCTGTTAGTAGTGAGTTGTCACCGCACCTTCTGTTTACATGACGCAGGCGTGCTCGATGGGATGAGATATGTCTATAACATAACGATGGCCCCGGCGCACTCAGTGATTTTGTAGACTGAAATAAGGGGAAGGTCGTCATCATTCTAAACTCTGCTAATCCTGTTGGCATACACGTTACAATTACTCTGGAGAATTTATGGTGTCAATCAATTTGTATCTTGACTACTTACCTTCTCAAAAACAATACAGGACTGTTTATATATTTTAGTCAGGATATTTATATTGTAAGAAGAAGCCTGTCACAGAAATAACCCAACAATATTTGCATGTGACGTAGGTAATGGTTTATTCTTTCTGGTATAATCATCACTATTGATGTTATTTGCAGATGTTGTGTAAGAATCGCACTGGCCGCCATTCTGAAAGGAATGCAATGAAATTGAATATAATATCCTACTTTTCTGCATTAATGGGCATATTTTTGCCCGGACAGCGGTGCTAAAGCGGTGGACACACTAGCCGAATCATTCGGCAGAATCAATCGGCGTCGAAATTCGCCTTGTGTGTCCACTGTCATTCGGCAGAATGATTCGCCCAAATGAAACATGTTTGATGTATACGGCCGAATTATATTCGCTTAGTGTGTCCGCTTCGCGAAGCATTCACCCGATTGTAGAATTCAGCTAATGTGTCCACCGCTTAAGACCTACTCTTATTTTGAATTTGGAAGTGTAGGAAAATCCCGAGTAACATTGTGGGCCAACACCCGGATCGAACAATAGACCTCCTGGTGAGACAGCAAGTGCCTTACGCACTGAGCCATCGCGGCTCGCGTGCTGAAACGGGGGTTTGGTGGTTCTAAATAAACTGGAAAAGTCATGTCTATCAAATATATAGAACATTGTTTGGCATCAAACACGACCAGTTGGTTACAAGATCATGTAAGTCAGCGAAACGATCACCGAAGCCACTGATTACTCAGTACAAAATTCCGTAATAAACATCGCATAGTTTGCCATCAGTGCCTTCATCAAGAAGTTCTCAATCGGGCATTGTGCCGGCCCACGAGAATTGGTGGAAGGGCCCAATATAGATGTATTGTATTACCCCCCCCCCCCCCCCTTCCCCTTACTAGTTACGTCACTGCCAAATACTATCAAACTGTCTTGACATTTTTCCAGTATTAATACCATTTGTTCATTTATCTTATTAACATAAATAAATGGCTAAAACATGGATTGCACCACCAGAATCGATTCATTTATGCTAGCCGAGATTTGATAGGTCATTCAATGGGCTGAAACTGGGAGTTTCTTGTCAGGGTCACCAACTTGCCCTCCCTATAAAACATGATTAAAAGGTAAAGGAATGAGAGAAATAAATCATTTGTTGTTAAACTGAACTAAATTTTAAAAGCAATACCTGATATCACTCGGAAGTAAGCATGGAATGCCTCTTAACTTGGTTGCCAATGATTGACAGCCAAGGGAGGGTCAAAAAGATATCGACCCGTTTCAAATGTGGCTTATATAAAATCCTCTTTCCTTGATGGCCATTGTCAGCGGCTAAAGGGGGTCAATTTCGAATAGAGATTTTACATAGATTCCGACATAACGTATACGATATTCTAGGTAGATCCTTTTACTTTCCAACGGCACATCAACAACATTTCAACAACACCTAACGTTGTTCACAAGCATCGACAGAAATCGAAAGAAGGTTTTGTTTTGCATAGAACTTCTAGTTCTAACAACAATGCATATTTAGATAAGTAATTATATCAGTGTATAGGGTGTTTCACTCAGGTCATCATAGGGTGTATCAGTCAGGGGATCTATATATAAGGTGTGGTCAGGGGATATCAATGCACATGGTATTTCAATCAACTGATATCAATGTACATGTATATATTCCAAAAATCTCAGTCCCTTTTGTTATTTGCGCATTTCAGACCATAACTTTCTGGATTATGATCCTGATTGTACAAAAAATCGTTTTTGTTTTTAGCTTGTTCTCTATCCATCTCTTGCAAAATGTGGGCGTATCCTGCCTGGCAGCCGCTGTTGTTTACTTATAGTATTATACACGTAAAATTATATTGGCTCAATTAATTCAGTGAACTTGACATTAGTAATACTGATCACACTTCTGTCATTCCGGTAATTCAAATGTGAATAAAATTTAAAGATAAAAATATGTATGTTCACATACCATACCGTTATCAAAGAACGGTAACCTTAGTGAGAGAACAAGTTAGATCCCAATTAAACCGGATTAAACCGCCGCTGTACATGATAATACAAATAAACATGAAAACTGAACAAATGCTGCTCAGATAATACAAAGATACCTAAAAACATATCTAAATTACAATTTTCAAGTGAATTATGATCACATAGTATTTTAAAAATGTATCCACCTTTGTCTGTGGAAAGTCCACCCTTGTCCGTGGAGTTTAACGATTCATTTTTTTTTCCAAGTCAACATGAAGATTATTTCCACGATTTACCGTTCTTGGAAAATTTGTTACATCTCGCCCTTTAGAAATTCTGATACAGATCTAAACGAATTCATTTAAAATAATTCTATATAAATTCGTAACCATACGAGGGAAATATATTCAATGCACAAAAACTATCTTCCAAGATACTTCACAGGAAGTCCACCACAATTGTGTAATAATCAACGTACATGTACTTAATTTTTGGCTTACTGTGGAATTAAGTCTGTCATTTGATTTTCCAGGTTGTTAGAAATATAACACCATGGATTTTATAATACATGATAATACTAACAGACAAGAAATGAGTTCTATGGGTTGAAATGAAATGGGGCCTGACGACCCACTTTTCTGCATCAACCCAGCTCATGAAGATGACAATATGTATCTAATTCAAGCCCAAAATGATCATCAGTAAATATTCGCTTTGTGGCTAAGTACTATCTTCTTATCTTTAAGAAAATGCTTAATAATAATAATAATAATAATGATACAAATAAAAAGAGAATATTCATGATCATGTTCTTATCGCGGTCATTTATAAACATTGTCTGAAGTACAATCCTTCAGATCAACAATGCCTTTTGTACATACCAAACGGTTCTGCGACACCGTAACCAAAGCCGGAAAACGGTTTTATTCTCTTCATGGAAACAATGACAAGTATGTTGGCTCAAAAGAACAACGCGGCTGCATATGGTCGAAGCCGTCACTAAAGCAAATATTAGAGCCGCGTTTGGGTCTGGTTAAATTAGTAAGTTCATCTTCGGGAACGATACCAGATCTGGAATATCCAAATCAAAATCAGGAAAAATTGGCACCGATGGAGTTTGGAAATTTTAAAGACGCGTTTAAGCCAAAACGGACGAGTGACATTGTACGTGCGTTGAGTATTCTGCAGCTGTCTTCATATGATGCGATTGTTAATAACGCGGAAAAGGTACGTAGTGGACTTTAATCTATGTTTTAATCAATCCATTTGTATGTTCTAAATGAATACTTCAAATTAAACATGGGATTTAGGGAGTTGACAATGTTCAATGTCGAAGATTAACTAATGCATTATTATAATTCTGAGTGATTAGGGGTCATATTGGTACAAATCTGGACGATTGCAGATATTGGAATCTGTACCCGGATTGAATCGGGTTGTGCATGGAACTCGAATGAAAGGATGTTTCACTGTCAAAGCGGAACTCCATGCGCTGTCTACATCTATTGGGAGTCACGGTGGCTGGGTGCGTAAGGTGCTGGCTCACTAACCAGGTGTTCCAGGGTTCTATGCCGGTTTCGGCCAAGAATGTTCCGCGATAGTTTTCAGCGTGGTTTTCTTTATTCAGTGGTAGGGCACGGAGGGTCTTACAAGGATCTGTGTCTAGTTGGAATTCAATTGCTATCCGAACAAAATTTCTCGCATTACACATTGCTTGGCGTATGCCCGTCTTCAGTAGACCAGTCGGTGCAGAAAAATCAATTTATATTAGATTGTATGCCATAAAAATTTGCAGATTGTGGTTGGTCTTTCTGAAACCTCGTATGTCATACACATATTTTGAAGAGCACTAATATATCCTAATTGGAGATGATTATATCGGTTGAAATTCGCACTTCTCATTTCACACGTAATCCTAATAATCGTTTACCAATTTTCCTTTCTGATAGTAACTATCAGGCATTTTCATTTGAAACATGATTTGTTTTATCAGATGGGCGTTTGCACCAGTTATAAACCTAAAACTTATCCGAAATGTATGACTTTTTCTTTCAACTCTAAGGTATTTTAAGGTATGCCAGTCGATGTTGGAATAATGTGAAAATTCTGAAAATCCAAAGGTTCGGAAAAAATGGCAGAAAAAACCTTTCCTTTACCACAAACCACCACATAAGCCACCAAAACAAATATGGAAAGTGTCAAACACGACCGAATAGAAGTTTGGTTGTAACAGTAATTATAGGAATTCCAGAATAGATTTTTTTAATGGTGGATGTTGACGTTAAAGCTCCGGGTGCTAAGTTCTTTTGATATCTTTATATTTTAGATTATAGAATTTGGAAGAAAAATGTTTGGCAGGCGATTCTTTGATTTTCTGCTGAAAAATAGTGTATATAAACAGTTCGTTGGTGGGAAAGAATTTCGAGAAATAAAAGAAAGTGTATGCAGATTACATGAAGCCGGTATTCAGACCATGTTGGCAGTTCCCATTGAGGAAGATCTGGACCAGAACACAGCAAATAAGTAGGCCTGCGTAATAGTTAATTTTATCGTATGTCTTACGTAATTAATATCTAAGGAACTTTATTCAGGTGGCATGGTATGACAAATTACATCCGTAGAATGTCAAACTGTTTCTTGTCCACAGCTTTGCTTATTGTCATTGCCGATACAAAGTAATTAGGCCTACAACATGACATAGATGTACTGTAGTTGCCACGTGGTTGTACACTACACCCTATTATCTATGCAGGTACAACCGTTATTGTATTTGCAAATCGCGTTGTGCCACCCAAAACATGTCTAGAACTGCACACGAACATACCAAAACACTGCGGTGTGCCAGGTCAACAACAAATCTGTATACTTTAGAGCCTTCAATACCTTACCATGATCAATCTGCAGCTTATTTTTGGGATCAACATCATCTACCGGTAATTCTTTTTGATGATGACCATACTTTCGGATAGGACGGATAACCGATGTCCTGTGTATAGCGCTACTCTGAAAAAAAAAACTTTCATTATAGCACACTGTCCGGTGTTTAACCATCGTCATTAGTTTGGTTAATGCAGAAAGGCAGAACGTTAAACACCATTATATTTCATTTTATTTTGGCAATCGAATTTGAAGACACTTCCATTATCCTTTGAATTTATATCAATTTGCCTCGACGAACGGTTATTTTGGATTGATGTAAAAGATCTTTCACACCCCTGGCGCCAGAGAGTTGATGGGTCAACAAATCTCGTTTTGCGTTAGAAAATCTAGGGCGGGCGAAAATCACTGGACAAGTATCACTTTCATGCGTTTGAAAGAGCACACATTGTCATGTTAGTATAAGTGTTTTTGATAGAAAACCAACAGTCACTCACTTTTGTCCAATTCCAATGGCTTAAAAGTATTATAATTTCAATCCTGACAAGTAAGAGTGTATCATACACCAGTGTATTCGCCAGGAGCCCAAATTCGATTGCCAAAAACATGATGGTTAATTTGATACCACATATGTAGAGGTGGAGCGCGGCGACAAAGCGTGACTCGCCCGGGGCCCAAATTCTATGGCCTAAAACATTCACGGGGTCATGTTAGGCTGAATCGCGGTGCCGAAGCGTGATAGACGACCCCCCCCCCCCACACATACACAAAGATATCTACTTTTATTTATATAAATAATGCCAATTCTCTTACAAGGTCTTCAAAAGAGTAGCTTATATATAGTTCACTAATAAATGGGCAGAGTTGGGTCAGTGTTTAGATAGAGAGAATTACACTGTCAACACCCAAAATAAACCCAAAGTTCCGTAATAAACACACCGACTTCCCCGCAATATTTCATTAATTTCAACACGAATATTTAACTGAATAGATTTTGTTTCAGGAATCCTTCAACAATATATGAGAAGAATCTCCAGTTGTTATTAAAATGTATTGATCTGGAACAAACTTTACAACCTAAATTTCCCATAACCCAGATCAGGGTAACGGCTATAGCTTCAGCTAGCATCTTAGTAAGTGTAATTCAAAGTTAAAGGACTATATTGGTGCCAGTCATTATCACATATGTGATAGAACTGGTTAAACACGTTCCAAACACGAGTTATCCCTCTATATAACTGACTGAAGTGACGAGTGATAACAGATATATGTGCGAATTTCTGCTCACTAATAATTCTTTCGAAGACTAAAAGTTGTTATATGAGACTGTAAGAGTATGTCTGACAATTAAAAAAAGTAATAGAATGTCATTAGATAAGAGAACACGAGAAAAATAGAAACAGTCCGTACATTCACGTGTGTTTATTCATTCTATACTTATAAAAACATGGTAATGAACGGACTTTTTCTATTTTTCTTTCATGTTCTCTTATCTAGTGGCAATCAATTTGTTTTATGAATTGTCAGATATCCTTTCACAGTCTCACACAACAACTTTTGGTCTTCGAAGGAATTATTAGTGAGCAGAAATTCGTCCATGTATCTGCTATCACCCATCACTTCAGTCAGTTATATAGAGGGATAACTCGTGTTTTCCTTTTGCGTTCGTCACTTCCGATTGTTGAAATATTGATTACGCATCTATCGTAGCAATGATCTATGTGATAAAATAATATTTGGAACGTGTTTAACCAGTTCTATCACATATGTGACAATGACTGGCACCAATATTGTCCTTTAATGACACTATCATAACTATTAAAAAACAACACGATAGACTAAGGCTGTTGTGCAATTTCGTGTCATTTTCCTCAAGAATAAGCAATATATATATTCTTGAATAATTTATTAGAAATATATATTCTTGGATAATTTATTTGAGTAATGTTATTTCTGAACGAACGTTTCAATATATTTATTTTTCATTATCTAATTTTGAACTAGGCTACTAGGGCTGGCTGAATAATTCTAAACATGAAAAAAAAATTCTCAATTGAGTTGAAACAAACTTTTGCCACCAACAAGTACCAGACCACCTTGTGAACACACCCATCATCAAGTGACTGCAACTGAAATGACTAACCCTAGATAACACATCTCATCTCTCAACCCTCCGTGTTTCCAGATGAGAATTGTTCCTATTATCTTCAACGTAGCACCTCCCGGAGTGATTCACTCCCGCTAGTTTTAAACAAAATTGACAATATTTTTCATCAAAACAACGATTGATTATTGTTATTTATAATATTTCTGCCACACCCAACTACAATTAAGCATATAATCCTACCTGAAACGGGCACAAATCGTCGTATTTAAAATCGAGGCGTTAAGCCGTTACTAAGGCCACCATCTTTTTAAACAGCAGACGTTTAACGCATTCGGCAAACCTCGACAGATTCTATGCATCTTATCTCGGCTGTATGACGAATTCCGCCATATTGGAACTATTTTAAAGGTCCCGGATGAAAAATGGCTGCGCCCATGGAGATTTCTGTGGAGAGTGTATTATATCAACAAACGTCAAGTTTGGCATTGGGTTTGGGGAATACCAGGGAATTATAAAAAACCAGCAGCCTTGAGACAATATCTCTGCTCGTTTAGTTATATACATTCGACAAAAGACGCCATTTTGGGACTTTTTTGTAAAAGCGGCAAGTTTTCCTGTTAAAGTAAACCGGGAGCCGCATCGCAAATGCATGGGCGTAGGTACATATCAATTGCTATCATACAGCCGAGGTTAGATGTAGGGTACCGGAATCTTCCGAGGTTTGCCGAGTGACGTTTAACGCTGTCATCATGAAGGCGGGGCTAAATAGAAGGCTTTTATAACAGCCAATCAAAAAGGCAATCGAAAGTGGAGAACATGTCAACACACAAAATGACATCCACATGTTATATCCGCGAATCATTTCAGAAAATAAAAATCAAATTACGGCGATAATGTTGAATTAAAACCCGAACAAGAAATTATTTTGGACCTGATAATAAATGGCAAGAAGGATGTTTTTGCTTTATTACCGACAGGATTTGGCAAATCATTGAATTATATATTAATTCCATTGATTTTAAATGAAGTAAAAGGGGCGTGTAGTGTCGGCGCATGTCTAAAGCACTCTAACTATGAATGGATTTAAATGGCGGTGTATGTCAGACAAAAACAACGCTTCATAAATTCAAACGCGAATATTTGGAGTTAGGCGATAGTTGTGCCACTACATTGCCCTATGTAAGTTTAATTAGTCATAATAGCATAAACTTATCTTATTTTAAAGATGTTACATGCATTAATAAAGAAATTGAGTTTGCCACTTGGAACTAAAGGCATCCAATCGTAGCTAAAAACAAACACATCAGTATATCTCAACGTGTTTAGCTACGTGCTCGTAGCTAGACTAACCCCATCACAGATACATGCCGACATAGTCTCCACTTTTGGAAATGATACCCCTTCCTTTTTGCACAGTAAAGAAGTTGGCTCTGGAAATTAAGCGTGACGGGGGGGGGGGGGGGCCTTGGCGATGATCCGCGTCCTGGAAGGCCACCAACAGCAACCATTAATGAAAACATTACCAAAACATGACACGGTGATGGCTGATCGACGATTGGCCACTCGACATATTGTCAGTGTTATGGGCATCTCTCATGAGAGGGTTGAGCACATTATCGCCAGCGAGTTAGGAATGACAAAAGTTTCTGCAAGGTGGGTGCCAAGACTCTTGACTGCAGATACTGATAATTGTTTGTAACAGTGGATGAAACCTGTTTCCCAAAATGAAAAAGGAACTAGCCGGTCCTAATTTTCCTAGTAATGATGAGGTCATGTCACCTGTGGATGACTTTTTTTAGGGTGACTGAAGACAATTTCTTTCTGATCGGCATCCATGTCTGGCAACATCGTTGGCAAATGCGTGTACACTTCGAAGGGGACTAAGTGGAAAAAAATGGAAACCATCGACTTTGTACAGGTCTTTCACAGATAGGCTTAGAACTTTTCAGCCAGCCCTCGGATTATAGCAAGAACGACCAGCTCTTTATCTAAATCTTACATAATGCATCTTTAAGCTTTGTTTTATTCTTAAATTTCTTAGAATGTGCAATGTTTTGTTGTATTCCAGGCAAAGATTAGTCAAATTTGTCCAAATCCTACTGATACTTGTAGCACAATAGACGATATAGTGAACGCAATGAAGACTGGGAAAAGGGTAAGACAGTAGAATAAGCTAGTTTTTTTCTGTGTGTAGAATAATTTGTCCAGTCGAGCAATCATTAAATACAATGTCCCAATATCTGTACACATGAAGAAGAGGCTGGTTTGTACAGTACTAGTAAATGCTCAGAGTTCTGGGGGTGCAGTAGGAACCCTATTGAAATCCATAGTATTTCAACGAGTTACTGCGCCGGATAAACGTTTAATTACCCCTTTTACTCCCTTTTCTCTAATCACATTGTAAATAGTTTCACTATGAATATATATCATGTAATTGTCTGCGATATCACCTCGGTGGAAGCGGACGTTAAATGAAGCTATTTCACACTGAGTTGTAAGGATATTTTCAAACTTTCTAGTGTCAATTAGTTGGTCCCAAGGAGAAACTCTAGTCGCTCAAACATTAATTGTAGCACTATCGTCGTTGCGACATTGTTTTTAAATTTATAGACAAGGAATAGAGAAATAAGATGGGTTAAACAAATTTTTTTATCTTTACAAATTATTCTCTATTGTCAGTATAGTAGCTATGGTATGAGTTTATTTAAAACGCAAATTAATTGTTTGTGAAATAGCGTGAGAATAACAAGAAAGGGGTTCTTAGTTCAAGGATAGATTGTGTCGAAAAATATATTTGACCAATCTCTGTAATTATTTACATCATATTTGACCAATTAGATAATTGAAGATCCAACGCCAAAAGCTACAAAACTATCATATTTGTTAGTATTGTAATCTGTACTATGCTTGTATCCATGTATCCAACAATGCTATATAAAATGTAAAGATAGGTTGCCAGGCAACGAAACATACGCCCACAGCAGCTAAATCGTCCGGGCAGTCAACAAGTGTTGTCGCATATTTTTACTTTTTTCGGTAATGAAACATTTATAATACACTAAAACTTTTTCAAAGTGATCAAGGGCCATAACTTTGGCAGTAATTAATCGGAAATCTTTGAAAATCAATAGGATTCTTCGTCTCATGACCTCAAACATTGTGTATAAATTTAAAGTCAATCGGATATTAACTTTGGCCTCCAGGGCGTCCACAAGATGTTTTGAAGTGATCAAGGGCCATAACTCTGGCAGTAATTATCGAAAATCGCTGAAAATGAATAGAATTCTTCGTCGCATGACCTTAAACACTGTGTATAAATTTAAAGTCAATCGGATATTAACTTTGGCCTCTAGAGCGTCCACAAGATTTTTTGAAGTGATCAAGGGCCATAACTCTGGCAGTAATTATCGGAAATCGATGAAAACCAATAGGCTTCTTCGTCTCATGGCCTTAAACACTGTATATAAATTTAAAGTCAATCGGATATTAACTTTAGCCTCTAGAGCTTGTGGACGCCGGACGGACGGACGGGGGCGACGACAATATACGACCACATTTCAATGCGGGCGTATAAAAACGAACTGTTGCATTGTTAGAACTACTGGGAAGACAAACGTCTTAAGAAAACAGGAAGACGTAGGATGTGGCGACCGGTTTGGCCTGACCCGCTCTCCACGTCTGACGAAAGACCCATGGTGCTACATAATGTTCCTGTCATCGACACTTTGTTAACGTTCCAAACGTAGAACTTTGGAGATGTTTGGTTTATCAAAGTTGTTGGTTGGTCATAAGAAAGGAATTCTATCAAAATTCACACAAAGAATTTTCAAAGAGTTACTGCTTCTGTCACCGAAATCTTGCTGGGACTGTTCCCCTAAACATAAGAAGAATCGCTAGTAAAAAGCATACCTGCCTTCAATATTATGCGGAATTACTGTCAAACATGAAAGCCACCGTTAAAAATGCTACCGGTGGAATATATGGGTATATTTGTTGCCTGGCAAGACTATGTTTATATTTGATCTTAATGTTGCTTACTTTAAGGTAACTATGGAAGGTTTAACAGAGAGCGAATCGACAGAATTAAATGATGTTATTAAGAGATTAGTTGTAATAGCAGAGGTAAGAAAAATACTGAACAACTTTCCAAAGCAAAATTACCGTAAATGAAACTGCTCCAACAGCTACCACCCGTGTACACTAAAACACATTCAGCCATGGATTACATAAATACTCGCATACGACATTTTAATAAGTTATTAAAAATATAAAATATGTTGTTAACGATATACATTTCTTCGATAATAATCCGGTTGTCAAAAGAACTTAATATTTTTAGCGTGCATAATATCGCAAAGAAAATCAGTTTGGTTACTATATTATATAATGTGTGTTTGTGTGCACAAGTAGTGAATTGTAGGCGATCATAGTAGATAAGTTTTTTTTTCTCGCAAACAAAGACAAGAAGAAAAACCCAACCAACCATAATGTAACGCGTACGACTGTATTGTATTATACAGAATTCTACCTGCTGGGACGATATTCTTTTATTCCCAAAGCAAACAGGATGCTGATGTTGCATTTTTAACGCTTTTTATCCACAAAAAGAGTGTTTTATAAACCCAACACTGTGGAAATTCATGTAGCTAATGCCGTGTCGCCGAATTCATGCAAATGATCAACATGTCAGAGTTTTTGAGATTTTATTCTAAACTTGCTGGAATTATGCAGACAGTCCCCTGGACCAACTATTTAGAAATTCTTGCTGGCTCATCAAGTTTATGCTTACTTTTTGCTCATGATCCAGAAAACGTCCCAGCCAGCCTATAAAATCTGAAGTTTATTCAATCTGAAGTTCGTTTCATCTGATGCCTGATGTACTAAATTTTGTTATTACCGTTTTGTAGGTAGCCAAAGAGAAGGGTGTAATGATTATGGTTGATGCCGAGTATACATATTTTAACGGTGCTACCAAACTATTTGTTCTGAGTTTAATGTTACGTTATAACCACGATAAACCATTAATATGTTTTACATACCAGAATTATCTCAAGGTAATATCACATTCCTTATATTCCCTTAAATTCCCTTTGCCTGGGTAGCACCATTAAGTCGTATTTCATGAAGCCCATCCATTCATCAATTAAAATTTAAAAAAAAGTCTATTCATTCTGTGTGATATCTGTTATATTTAGATTGTTGGTGTGCTCTCAATTGTTAAAATGTAATGTCGGTGAAGTAATGATTACTAGCATTATCAGTTTATGAACAATTACTACACTTATATTACCCAAACCCTGCCCCAAGACTTTCTATAGGAACCCTACGGTTGATTGTCGTTGATTTTCTTTTGTCGGTAAATGTCCAACGTACAACCATTTAATACCATGTCAAAAATCACATATTCGTTGTCTCGCCAGCGCTCCCTACGAACCTACTATAGACCAATATGCTGTCAATAATGTGGCAATGGTTAATGAGCTGGTAGACTCTGGTACACTCTCGTATACTTTTTATTCTAAAGGGGAGCAAATTTTATCTGTTTTGTTTGTTAAAGTGACAAGACATTCTAACTCTTTGGTAATAGTGTTTTGTCTTTTGAAATGCGATCTTAATGTCTGACCATATGTATGTTTTTAAGGCAACCCTGGAACAATTGAAGCAAGATGTGGAATTTATTAACTCCAGGGATGTATATTTTGGTCTAAAATTGGTTCGAGGAGCATACATGTACAGAGAAAGGGAAATAGCCAAAGCTAAGGGCTGTTCTGATCCAATCCACGACACTGCACAAGACACTTCCAATATGTATCATCAGTCCATCAATTTTTTGATGGAACGAATAGCGTCGAATAAAAAGTGTGCCTTTATGGCTGCATCTCATAATGAGGAAACTGTCAAGCATATGATGAAAAAGTGAGTAACATTGGTTTTATTTAGAGTATATTACTATTTTTATGCGGTGATCGTAAATTATACCAGTATTTATTTATATTAGCAGTGAAATCTGTCATGCAGATAAGCAGTGAAATCTGTCATACAGATTAGGTATGCTTGAATACTCCTGGAAACCATATTTTGTTTAAAACTGTGACTAATCGAGAGTATCTGAGTTTACTCGTTGGAGGCACCACTTCTTAAACCAATCTGAATAAGCAGCTACAGGGCAAAGGCCTATTAAATGCATTTCAACTTATATGGTTTAACAAAGGAAGTCAAACGTGTCAAATCTTCCTTTTAAAACAATGCACATTAAATCAAAATATTAAACTTTGACCCCACCCCTAGCTTATTGGTCCCATGTGGGTTGAGTGCTCTCATTTCAACAAATGTAAATAACTACAGACCTACGACTCAATATTGATCAAGAGCTTGTGAGAATGAAAGGGGAGATTTCTTTTTGCTTAAAGAGCTAAATATGCCCATTACAAGTCTGTCTTTTGGCCTCAAGTGTTATATACATTAATTCACATGACAAGCCCATAATCAACTTTCGACGGATTGAAACACAATCAATAATTCAAATTTAAAAATGGACAATCGAGACTTTGTTAATTATCGCAACAATGGTATTTGATAATCGAGACTATATAGTGAACACTTCAAAGCCTAATAACTTAATTAAAATTTTCAGTATATTCATTTTTCATTATCGATTTTGAACGAGTATAACAAGAAGGACCAGCTCTTTATCTAAATCTTTAATGTTTTTGTTGATCTAAGTATATTATGTTTATATTCACAGAAAGTAGTTGTGTTATAATAATGTTTATAAATATTTTATAGAATTAAAGAATATAATATTAATCCTGGTGGTGGTCAGATATTTTTTGGACAGTTGTATGGAATGTGTGACCACATATCTTATACATTAGGTAAATATTCAGTTAATGTAGCGATTTCAGACCTGAGAACATCGTTTGGTTCGGTAAGAACAGTCTCGTCGCGTTGTGACAGATACAATCCATCGATGTTATTAAGAAATATGTGTTAGCAATGTCAATTCATATGAAAGGTTGTGTAAGGAGTTCTAGAAAGAGTAAGCATACCCTGCCACGTAATAACAGCCATAAGTATTTATTGCTATGGGGCAGAGGTTTGGGTCTGGATTTCAGTAACCGGGAATAGAAGATACGTCACCATGAAAATATCACTTCTTTAGTCAGAAAATGTAACTGAATCAAATGAAAATGGGATTTTACGTCTGTAAAACAATTCTGAGAATAACACATAATGGGGTATTTTCTGTCTGTGGTTATGTGTGCAAAGCGTGTTGCATATCCGCCTATTCTTCGTTTAACTCACTGACGTGTCGAGGTTTTTTGTCCGAATTATAGTTTATTTTCCACCCCGATGACCGAATTTGGAACATGTTACATTCTAGTCTCCGCCCCAATCACTTCGTCACCCACCCCACCAACATTCCTCGTGCATTTTAAAGTGGGGTTGTCCGGCTGCCACACTTTCAGAAGCACGATAACCCAGCTTCTAATTACCGTAAAATGTTTAATCTTTGTGAGAATGTTCATTGTGTGAATGTCTTGGCGAAATCCAATGATGAGCATTTTCTGCTCGAGCTAAACAGAACCTAGCAATTTGATTTGTTAGACATTGGAACATAATGCTTCTAATTGGAGTAGAATAGTTCAAACTTGGTGTAGCTGCCCATTATAGGCAAATGTCTTCGCTGACTTCGATGGTGAGAATTTTCTGCTTAGGCTAAGCAGAGATAACCTATTTGATTTGACGATGCTTTGGAAAACCATTCTAATTAAGTGTGTTGGCCGAGAACGTTCATCGGGATTTTCCAGAGTGGTTTCTCCTTGTCAGTGGTGCAGGAAGGGGGCGCCTGACAAGGACAGCTGTCTCGTTCGGATGGGACGCAAAACCGAGGTCCCGTGTACACATTGGCGTGCACGTAAAAGATTCTTTGACAGTTGGAATTCGATAAAAGAGTAGGCCGTAGCGCCGCTGTCCGGGCAAAATTTCTCTCATAGCTCACTGATGGCGTATGCCCGTCTTCATTAGCTCAGTCGGCGCAGAACAGTATTACGTTAAACCTCATTTCATTTCATTTATATTATTATATTTCAGGTAAAGCGGGGTTCCCTATCTATAAATCTGTACCTTACGGTGAAATAGATCATACGTTGCCATATCTTGTCAGACGAGCACAGGAGAATCGTTCTATTATTCCCGGTGCCAGAAGAGAGAAGGAACTCTTGAAGAAAGCTCTATGGCATCGTATCTCGTAAAACTGTTACATAATGTGTGTCTCATTCCGAATCAAGTTGACGATATCTATATGGTATATTTCTGTGTGCATTTAATAATACGTGCATACTTGTTGATACTTTTGGCAAAGAGACATGGAAACAATGCCAAAATAAAATAATATTTTATTTGGATGCCACTGTAGTCATATTATACACATATATATATATAAATATATAAAAAGTATATAGTATCTATTTACTAGATAAACACGAGGTGTAAGGCTATATAATGATTGTACAGTTAATAAATAGTTGTATATAGGTAAAGTACCGTTGTTTTATTATGCCATATCTATGAGGAAGGGCATGCTTGAAACATAATATGACGATAGTAACGGTGGCCAGCACCACAACCAGCAAAATTCCCCAGAGATTAATTTTAACCAAAACCGCGATTCCCTCGGTGCGATGACAATCGTTGAGGCGATCATCTTATTTTCGACTTCAGCAATATATACGGGAGAATTCGTCTCATGAACTTAAGCACTGTATAGATAAATTTCAAATCAATTGGAAAGTAATTGTCGCCTACAATCAAACATTAATTAAAGTCGTGATTTTCGTACAATTAGGGGCAATAATCCAGAAAGTTACTATCCGATACGTGCCAAAATCGATCCCATAGAAAATCTTTTATCGAAAAAAAAAATTGTGACCCTGTAGAGTGTCTACAAACAAATGTAAACGGACGTCAGGACATGGATGACGACTACATGAAAATGTGGGCGTATAAAAATTCATTCAGTTTCCACGTGGAGGAGATACGAATCTGAATGGCTGCTTTGTGGGATCTTTCTCTAATCTCGTTGGAATGCTGCTTCCAATGTCTCTGGTTCTTATCCCCTCTTGAATTAACGCAATGGCAATTTCTCGCATATTGTTTATACCCAGTGCCTGCACCACAAAAGTTTAATTTTCAACATTCCTTTTATGTCGAATTCAGTTTTTTATGTTTGTGAGAATGATCTGTGGCGTGTTTAGCAATCGTGAAAACATCTCACGTGATATCGCCGTGATCTGAATTGCAAGACAGGATATAGGCTATTATCATACGTTAAAAAATGATGCGTTTTCATTGCGTCAGAGTATATAAAAGAGAATGCAAAGAAAGGTTGCCAGGCAACGAAACATATGCCACAGCAGCTAAGTCGTCCGTGGAGTTAACAAGGGTTGTCGCTTTTGTCAGAAATGAAAACATTTACAATACACTAAAATCTAATTTGGCTTTTAGTTCTCCCCTATTCTAAAATTTAGCATACAAAACATTTAATATCAATTTTCATAATCATTGGAAATCGTTGAAATTCAACAGGCTTCTTTATCTCATGACCTTAAACACTGTGTATACATTTTAAGTCCATCGGATATTACCTTTAGCCTCTAGAGCATCCGGGGGGTTGGATGGTCGAATGGTTAGCACGTGCGTGCTGTATCATAAGCCCGTCATTTAGTCAACCGGCGTGGTTTCGAACCCCCGGTTGTACGTGACAAGGAGTAGGGTCGCCTGTCCAACCTCGTGGGTTTTCTCCGGGTCCTCCGGTTTCCTCCCACTGCTAAAGCGCCCTACGCGCAAGCGAATTATTGAAATAAAATTAAACCATATGTTAGTCATGAAATTTCTCTCTCTCTCTCTAGAGCACCCACAAGCTATTGTGGACGCCGGGCCGAAGGACGGACGGACGGGGGCAACGACAATATACGATCACATTTCAATGTGGGCGTATAAAAAATACCTCTGGGACATTTATCCTACCTAGTAGCATAGGTCCCGGGTCCGGTGTTGGCCGAGAAATTCCTGAGGATTTTCCGTCGCGGTTTCCCTGGTCATTGGTGCAGGATGGAGGGCCTGGCAAGTACAGCGTCTAGTCATTTGGATGTTACAGAGAAGACCGGGATGCCGTGCACACCAATAACCCACGACAGTTGGAATTCAACAACAATCTGTTTCACAGAGGATTGCGAAAGTATTCTAATATCTCTGTAAAAGATGACCACCTTCAACACGTGACGTCTCATCACGCGGTGTCAATCATTGGCCCAATGGCGCGTGCATTGTTTAAATAAGACCTTACTGGTTCGGGCGGGATGGAGCCTTTTACTAATTTTTATACCCATTTACACTAAATAGGAAATAATTTTTACCTACAAATACGTCAAACGTCTTTATTTATTTTTCTAATACATAAAAAAAAATGTTTTAGAATTTAATTTGTCGGAGGAAAAAAGTAAATATTGGTGGCTCATTAAGTCGCATCAATGTCATCCTTATCAGTGATTGTCGCGGCCTAGCAAATATTCACTGCTGATCAGTGTGATTCAACAACTGATCTCCGATTAGTGCTTTTTCATCATGTCAATCCGTGGAGCAGGACTGTTACCCTGGCAGATTAAAGGGGGGAGGGAATCAATCATTTAATGGCTTTTAATATACTCTTCAAATAAAGTAGGGGATATTCAGAAACAATACAAAACTCCGGAAATGCACTGCTGTTTTTATTAGAGGTACCCAGCGTATGTTAATAACAGGCCAATTTCCCACACATGAACATAAACAGTTCATATGGGAGGCTTATCTGACGGCCCCATTTCACTCGCAAAGCGATACACTGTCAAAAGTGAAAATGGACGTTTTTGATTTTTGTCTTAATAATGAGTAATTGCTCCACCAATCTTCAGACATTCAGCAATTTGTCGTGGTATGCTCCTAATCAACCGTCCAATCACGATTTGGGGCAATCTGACACACTTCTCTTGCAGTGCCACGGCCAATTCCTGCAGTGTTGTCGGTTGACGGTGACATCGACGAAAACGTCTCCCGATCATGTCCCACACATGCTCTATAGGGGAAAGATCAGCATGGCTGGCCGAAGCATATGGACAATATGGTGACGCTGGAGGTAGTCATTCACGACACGAGCGCGGTGGGCCCGGGCATTATCATCTTGAAAGATGAAACTTCGACCTGCACGTTGAGCAAAGGGCAGAACTATCGGTGCCAGGATGTGGTCACGGTAGTACACACCAGTGACCCTTCCTTGAACAATATGCAAGCCCGTTCTGCCAGCCATGCTGTCTGACGTTAACGTTAGCATGACGCTGATTTACACACCTCCAAACGCCAGCACGACTATCGGCGAAATCCAGAGTAAATCTGGACTCATCTGAAAACATAACACGTACGCGTCCATCGATGATTACCCCAATTTCTACGCTGCCTACACCATTGACGCCTGTTTGCCATGTGCTGGCGAGTTAATGGAGGCACAACACGCGGTCGTCGCGCATTCAAATGGGCTGCATGTAGACGATTTCTTATCGTTTCGGGTTTAACTCGAATTCCTGTAACTTGGTACAAGTTTACAGAAAGCTGATTTGCCGTTTGTCCGCTATTTCGCAGGACCTGTGTACGAATGTATCGATCCTGGGTTTGTGTAGTGGCTCTAGGATGACCTGAACGAGGTCTATCATCAACATTGTGTGTTTGTTGGTACCGGTTTCACGGTCTGCTGATCACAGACTATGGCACATTAAGCATGCTGGCTACTGCTCGCTGTGTAGAACCCATTTGAAGCATGCCAATAGCAAGTAGACGTTCATCATGTTGAAGACGTCTCATTGCAAATTAAACGTAACACACTAAAGCAAAGATACGCTAAACAGTAAATCTTATGAAAGAACCGATAGGAAAGCAAACACGGATAGGATAAACCAGCACGTGGCAGTTGTCATCAACCCTTCCTTGAAGTGTCAAATTTGACAATGAACCCCTCCCACGTGTATGGCGCTATTGCGTGTCGCTCAGTGGATCTGTTGGGGCAATAAGTTCTTCATCTCTGAACATACTCTAAAAGCATGTCATGTGTCCATGACTATTCATCATATCACAACCTGCATAGGTATTTGCATTTCAATATCTCCAACTTTTTTTGAAGAGTACATAATTTCTTCATAATCAGGAACTCGTAAGGGAAATAACTCGGCGTTACAAATTTGATGAACAAACAATAACACTCTTAAAAATGTATATACATTTATAGCTTATGTAGCCCAAAAATAAATAAATACCGACACAAATCCAGCAACAAAATTTACAAACAGTATAAACATGATAGCCTACTGTATTTTCTATGGAATGTAGGCATGAATGTTTCCTCATATTTAACATTTATAATTATTCGTTTAATAAAAGTTCTTCCATTCTTTATACCATTCATGCAGTTACACAATGATTATGATATGGATAAATAAAAACATCATTAATAAATGACCCATGTGTCACACCATGTGAAGGTTTCCTTCTAAACCCGTATCTTGGAAATAAGTTCCATAGATTTCATTGTTCTTCTACGTGCTGTGTTAGGCCGTATGTTTTAATAAAAAGTACAGATCGGCGAAAAACACAAGCGTTCCAAATATTAAACCACACATCATTTGCTGAAAGAGATTAATAAGCTGTCAGAAAAATATGATATATCATTGAGGATAAAGTGATCAGGTTGCTGGATTAAGTTATAAGTGTTGTTGCTAGCATTCACATTACGGATACGCGATGCGGACCAGGAATTTACGTTTACCAAAAGTCTCTATTGTGTCGTATGCTTATTCCTTTGGGGGTGGGGTGGGGGCACAGTTAGTAAGATGCTGGCTCGTTATAGTCTGGAGATCGCGGGTTCGCTCTCGGTGTTGACCGAGAAAGTTCATCGGGATTTTCCGGCGTGGATTTTCCTTGTCAGTGGTGCAGATCGGAGAGCTTGACAAGGACAGCTGTCTAGTCGTTCGGATGGGACGAAAAACCGAGGTCCAGTGTACACATTGGCTTGCATGTAAAAGATCCCTTGCCAGTTGGAATTCGATATAAGAGTAGGCCGTAGCGCCGCCGTCCAGGCAAAATTTCCCTCATAGCACACTTTCACTGTATGGCGTATGCCCATCTTCATTAGCCCAGTCGGAGCAGAATAGTAGGACGTAACACCCCATTTCATTTCATTTACTCCTTATATACATCATATACTTACCATTGGTAATGAATGACAGACTGAATATTCAACAGATTTATATCCGAAAGCAAACCCCGCTCCCACGGTAACTATAAAATTAAATACCGCTATCATCTGTCTATTTAACGATTTTACTGCAAAGAGAAAAGTACTATTTTATAGAAGCTGGAAAAGGGGTGTCCTACTAATCACCGACAAGGACCAACAACTGAGTGCTATTGTCAATATCGTCCAGGGTATTTCAGAAAGTGACCGACAAGGAAAGATATGTTATAGATATGCATACATTGTATTTTACAAATCATATCCAAAATCTAAATGATTTCATAAACATTGACCAAATTATGGATAAGTTAAATTGACGAAAAGACGCCCTTGTCGGTGATTAGCCAGACCGTATTTGTCTAATATTCAATTATTAATAATTTTGTCAATTTCTAATGAAATCGTTCAAATTTTTGATATGATATGCAGAATGTGCACACACATATATATATATATATATATATATATATCATAGCTTTCCTTGTCGGTCACATTTTGCAATGTTAGGCGCTATTTACAAAAGAAACGCTCTTATTAGTCCTTGTTGGTGATAGTAGGGCCGAAAAAGAGGCATTACGACTTTCAACAAGAAACTAAATGTAATTAATTTTGAATACTATGTTCGAAATAACCTTAAATATAATTTAGACAAATGCAAAAAAAATCGAATTTCATCAAAATAGACCAATTGAGATATTTTTTCCCCATTAAAATATTCATTGATTCAGCACTTACTTTCTTCACCGAAAGTTTCTGTTTTACATCTCTGAAAAATAAACGACACAATATGTTTAAATCCCAAAATGTCTGTTGTATTCCATAATGTCCAATTTCAAAATGAGAAAATCCGATTAATGGAGGTGAGTGGGGCTGAAAGAAACATTATCTGCACTATCATTAGGAAAACAAATGTAATTACTTTTAAATAATATCGCGATGTATATTATTATCGAAAATCCGGGCACTGGTCTAGTATACTAAGAAAAATATATAATAACCTCCCTGAAAACCGTCAATACACATTTTAGATATCATCGGAAAAGAATTATGGTCTCTAGAGGATCCACAATGTTCGTATATGCATTAGTTAATTACATGCTTTGCCACAGCAGCTAAGTTGTCCGGGGAGTCAACTAGGGTTGTCTCATACTTTTTTTTCTTTTGTCAGAAATAATAATAATAACAAGGTTTTATATAGCGTCCATGTTGACACACGCTAAAAACGCTTTAGTAACATGAAAGGGTATCGCTACCAATATAAAACAATTGTCATTTGACACATTACATTTGACGTTTTACATTTAACGTTGGAAAAGACATTTTAGCAGAGCATTGAATATTGGGAGCATACCCTTCCATATAGTAATGGCTCTACTGGTAACACTGTCGAAACAGGAAAATGTTTAGTGTGGATTTAAATTTAATATTGATTTTTGATCTGTTCTGTCCAACCTCGTGGGTTTTCTCCGGCTCCTCCGGTTTCCTCCCACTGCTAAAGACCCCTTACGCGTACGCGTATTATTAAAATAAAATTGAATTATGTGTTAGTCCCGAAATGAACTAGTTTGTGTCGAGTGGACGTTAAACCCCATTTCTCTCTCTCTCTCTGTTGTGGAAGTTCATTCCATAATCTATACTAGCTGAACTGAAGGACCTATACCCATATGACTAAGTTATAGCTTGGAATAACTAGTGACTGTTTATTTTGAGATAGCAGTGATCTAATAGGCTTGTAGTCATATAAGAGTTCAGATACGTATTGGGGAGCTGCGTTATTTCGACATTTATACACTAATGTTAATATTTTGTATCTGATTCGCGCGTCAGCAGGTAACCAGTGTAGTGAAGCTAGCACATTCTAGATATAATCAAATTTATGTGTCATTGTCAGTATTCAGGCTGCAGTATTAAGAACTTTCTGAATCGTGGCTAGAGGTGCTTGTGGGATTCCAGAGAGTAAACTATTGCAATAATCAATCCTGGACAAAATCAATGACCTCACAAGTAGTTTACAAGCGTCAGCAGTGAGATAGTCTCTGATGTTGCATACACAGCGTAAATGATAGTAGCATGTACATCATACCATGTCAACCTGAGTTTGCATTGTAAGAGAAGGATCAAATATCACTCCAAGGTTTCTAAAATTTTTGGAGAAGTTTATTTCTGAATTAACAATAGTGATCTTAAGATCAGGTAGTAACTTTAGTTGTTGTGATGAGCCTACTAAAAGAGCTTCGGTTTTATCGTTGTTCAATTTCTCTTTCAAATAGTGTTTAACTACGAGCGAACAGTCGGTGGTTTTTTGTTAGGCATCTCTGATTAGCAGAGGACTAGACACACCAATGCGTTTAGTGTCATCAACGTAAGAGTAGTGCCTCTGATCATAGCCATCGACCACAGTCCCCAAAGCGGTTGTATAAAGAACAAAAAACATGGGTCCTGATACACTGCCTTGCGGTACGCCACAGTCAAGTTTAGACGATGGAGATTTAGCCTCATCAACTAGAACTGTTTGATGCCTGTTACTAAAATATGATGCGATACCTAAAGGCGGTGTACATGAAATCCAAAACTAGTTTTTAAGTCTATTGCATAGAATCGGATGGTCCACAGTGTTGAACGCTGCAGATAAATCCAAAGGAGTAAATGATGCTACATTCCCTATATATCCACTGCACACTGTAGGTCGTTGATGACCCTCAACACAGTTGTCTCCGTGCCATGATAGGGTCTGTAAGCAGACTGAAACTTATCCAACAACTCATATTTCAAAATATGGAATTGAAGACGGAGATTTACAGCTTTTTCCACAATTTTGGAAAGGAATGACAAGTTGGACACAGGTCAATAGTTTTTGAGAATATTGCGATCAAGAGACTGCTTTTTATTAGCGGTCTCATCACAGCTTGTTTGAACACCGATGGGAAACATTCAGTACTTAAACTTAAATTGACTAATAAAGTAATAGCAGTAAGCAGAATGTCTAGAAGTTAAAGGAGTGGCTAGGACGGTAACGAATCAAGTGGGCATGTCGTTTTGTTGGCGGATTTGATGATCTTTAAAATGTCATCCTTACTAAAACTCTCAAACTCCTTGAGTGACACAACACTTGTCACGGGTTTACTTGTATCACAAGGCTTCCGTGATCAGTAAAACTCCTTTCTAATCTTCGAGGCAAAAAAGTCAGAGAAAGAGTTTGCCAATTCCCCGTGATCGTCTGAATGTGGTTGAGTGGCTACGGTTTTGGTACCAAGCAATGATTTCATGAAGTAATGATACTTAACAAGAGCGATGACATCTTCAGTCAGTTAGTCAAGACAATAGCGCGATTTAGCCTCTCTGATAGTTGTAGATACCCTCGCTTTTTCATCTTTATATAATTCCCGATGTACTTCAAGGTATGTAGACCTCGATTTCCATTCAGCCAAACGACGACTTTTCTTCGCATCGCGTACCTCGGCGTTGTGCCAATTAATACAAGGTCGAGGTATAATTTGTAACGATTGGGGCCTGCTGATCCAGGATGATGAGCAGCGTCCTGTTGTACAGAAGAGCAAGTTCATTTGGGTCTTAAGGAGGGTTGCAAACATTTACAACACACTAAACTCGGATTACGAGCAACAACCCACTTGGCCTCTAGTTCTGTCCTATTCTATCATTTAGTATACAAAACATTTAATGTCAATTGCCATAATCATGTAAGGTGCCACAAGTTCTCTTGATGGAATTTCACAATATATGAATTGATATGAAGAGACATCAATTTGAAGTCGATCTTCTCTTGCTCTGGAAGCCAGTGAAGTGATCTTACTGGGGTGATACGGTCTCTCAAAGGAGTTCATGTTATGATCTGCGCTGTCTTGTTTTGTATGCGCTGCCGTTTATTTATTGATGTTTTATTAATTCTGGCAAGTACACTATTGTAATAGTCCAAACGGGAAAATACAAGAGAACGGACTAGTGTTGACGTGACAGAAGGAGAAATTAGATTTCGGATGGAACCAATATTGCGGAGATGGGACACACATTTTGAACGAACGTCGTCAACCTGTTTATTCAGAGGATGAAATACAGATGCTGGAGTCAGCAATTTTCTTCCTGTTGATAGACTCAAATTTATAACACCAGCAAAAGCTGCAAAAATAAATTGGCAGGTAATGGATCGAGCTCACATGACGTAGACTTGGATTCGCGAACAATATTTTGAATTTCAATTTCGGTAACGACCCTGAATTTTGCTATTTTTGCGCCAATGTATTCTGGTGATGCTACAGGAGACGTCGATGTTCTAAGACTGTTACGAATGGTATCAATCTTATTAATGAAGAAATTACTAAAGTCATTTGCGAGCACATTAATTATAGCGTATGTGGCCGCCGTGGGAATTAACACTGTGAATCCTTTGCCATTCTTGCAAAGCTTGCTCAAGCTGATGTCGGTTTGCGGAAGGAGGTGTCCGTTGCCTCAGCTGCAGATCAAGATGATCCCAGGGGCGCTCTTTTTGGTTCATGTCAGGAGAACATCCTGGCCAAGATAGTGTGTGGACGTTAACATTAATCACGAACCAGTCTGGCGATATGTGGTCGGGCATTATCATGCTGCAAAATGGTAACCCTGTGTTGCTGTTGCATGAATAGCGATAAACACGAACCCGCTGGAGCGACTTTCGTCTGTGAAGAGCACACTTTACCAATCACGTCGCTGCCATCGTCGTACAGTTCATGCACATTGCAACATGTGCTAACGGTGTTGAGGCCCAAGATCATTGTAATACCAACATTTCTGAGACGGCGGTAGACAGCGGGTCTCTGTTATTTCATACCGGATCATCGCTCTGTCACTCCGGGTATTTATGCAACAATTATGTATGCATGTGCATCTCCAGAAAATACCTACAATCATGGTGACAGCGTGAAATTCGGGATCCTGCGTTGATGACTGTGATCAAATGTTTTCTGGTGAAGTAACATTATTATATAGATAAAACTGGATTTACAGGTGTCAACTTTCTTTTGTTCGGTTGTTTAGTTCAAACGTTTTGGGTGAAATTATGGGTGTTTAAATTTTTGACAAGATAGTATCGGTTTTCCAGTACCCTTGCTACGATAATAAACAAAGAATGTATCGATTATCCATTTTAATGTTAAATTATTAAATGCCGACGGTGTTCTAATCCATTCAATATCAAGACCATCCGATGACTAGAGAGTTGATTATGGGTGTGGCATCTAGGTAAATGCCTAATTAATAATTTATATAACATTTATATAAAAAAAACTGAAATAGGAAGATTCAACTTTTGAATAATGCATCCTTAATAAACAGAATACGTTTACAATGTGAAACTAAAGAGCTCTGTAGTCGTAGAGCTCTATGGACCGGCCAGCGGCTAGTTCCTTTAAGAACTGTCTCTGAGCGGATAATAGAAACTTTTGGCAAGCGTAATTTCCTGGTCCGTATCGCGTATCCGTATGGATTTTGCGTGTGACGTCATCAATGTCTGTGTATTTCTCATACGTGATACGGCACACGGATACGGCAGCACGTATGGAACGACTTTCATACGGAAATGGTCCGTATAACACTGTCGTCTTTTTCCCGTCTTTTTTGCTACTTTTAGACGCTGAAATGTTGCATCATAGCGTTTTTATGAATCTGTGTGTATCCTAGAACACGAAGGTGTATATTTGATGTGATTTTAACAGTGATAACGACTGGAATTTAATCATTATTTTTGATGGGTTTTTCTCGGAATTTTCATATTTTTCCCGCCTGTCTGCATACTGATTGATCTACGGGCTAAACTTTCTGAAATAATACACTAGTGAAATCAAAAATTGCTAAAATCTGCCAAAACTCTAAAACTACATTGACGCAACGTATCACGTATACGATACGGATACGGGATACGGATGGGAAAAATCCGCTTGCCAAAAGTCTCTAATGTCCACTGACGACAGTTCCTATCCGTCCCTATATTGCTGCAATATGAAAATACGGTAAAATACCGCTCTTCTCCGGCTGTTTTAGAACCCTTACCTTCTATTTTTCACCGTGATTCTTTATTTTTCACCAAAAGGAATCATTTCTCACTATATTTGACACAAATTTATAATAATTCAACACCATTTCCAAGTAGAATTCGTAATGTTCGAGATTCGTAATGGCTGATCAGTTCAAACGTATTTTGTGTATGTTTTTAATTGCAGAATTCTACTTGAAAATAGTGTCACTGTTGAATTATTTTAAATGTGTGTCAGCTGTGGCAAGAAATGATTCCTTTGGCGAATAAAGAAGAATCACGGTGAAAAATAGTCGGTAAGGATTCCAAAATAGCCTTAGCCTTAGAACAGAGGTTGGGAAGAATGTTTTTTTCATATTGCAGCTATAGGGACGGATAAGAACTGTCAGTGGACATCGTCCGCTCAGAAACAGTTCCTAAAGGAATTGGCGAAAGGCAAGCAATCGACGGTAGAACGGGCGCCGGACAGTCAGACTGGGATGACAAGATATTCACGAAGTGCTATTGTTATTTTACCTCTGATAAGTTCACGTTTCTGGTCATTTCTTTGTATTCTCTGTTAGCTTGTTCATTTCTTAGTTTTTGTATTCTAGCTTCTAATTCTGGATTCTGAAAATATATCAATATTAACGTTTATTAAAAAAAACCATGGCATGCTGGGGCACAATTACCTGGGAATTGGATACCATTTGCAAACGTCTTTACAACAACAAGATATAATCTGTGTCTTTCATAACGATATGCATATAATTGATTAACCTCTATGATACATTTTTTAATTGATTGCATTGTAAAGTAGTTTGTGTTATACATACACGTATTTGCCTTTGGTAGGAGCGGATCTGAATATGGATTCGCTTTGAAATTAGTCTCTGCAAATCTTAATTCTTGTCAAATCTGAAATCACCTCTCCAATATAAAGTTTGGAAATACCCGCGTTCTAGACCGAAATAATTATTGATTGATTGACCTCTATATGATACCTTTTTTAATTAATTGCATTGCAAATTAGTTTGTGTTATATACACAGTAAAAAAAGTTAAGCACCCCCCCCCCCCCTTATTTTTCACAGAGGGGTGAACTTCATGGAAGTATGGTATGAAACTGAGAAAAAGAAGATAAGCAAAACAAATTTTAATTAAAAGAACAATCATTTGGTCATTTGGAAGTGAAGTTTTGTAACGGTATGAGCACTCAAAGTGCATAAAAACACAGAGTGAAATTGAAATGGAATTTCATCCAAAAGACATGGTGTTTAAGTTTCATCACCCGGTAAAAGCAGCTTAAATAAAGTGGATCAGTGTCCCAGGAATCACAAAACATCAGTAACGTGTGCTGCAACCAGTGCCTGAATAAATGCAGCCACTCCTCTTGGCATACCCCTAACCAGGTTCCTTAATAGCTCCATCAGTATCCGCTGCCACTCCTCGTGAAGAGCTGCCTCTAGTTCCCTCAGGTTTTGTGGAGGAGGATTCCGTCGTTGTACTCGACGGCCCATTATGTCCCAAACATGTTCGATTGGGTTCAAATCAGGAGACCTTGGTTTACAGCACGTGAACGATGAGGTCGTGCATTGTCGTCCATGAACAGTCTACAGTCATAGGGGAAGCCTCCCCAAACCATTACGGATCCCCCGCCAAATGGTACTCTTGGCAAAATGTTCCGGGGGGGGGGGGCAAGAAGTGTATTCCTAGTCCTCCATACGCGGGCCCTCCCATCAACAGCCGTATGTAACTAACGTACGAAAATTAATTGGTGGCTAGCTTTTTTTTTCGCACGTATACAGTGAATGGCCATTTTGCTCAGTAATCCCAGCCAGAAAGAATTTGGCTATTTTCTAAATTTGCGTTAAAGTTTAAAATATTTGTTTACAGTGAATGGCCATTTTGCTCAGTAATCCCAAACAGAAAGAATTTGGCTATTTTCTAAATTTGCGTTAAAGTTTAAAATATTTGTTTTAGAACTTAAATAAATTAACTATTAGTCAATCCCAACGCTAACAACTTCAACAGATTTGATTGTGTATATCTGAAATAAACACGACCGACGCACAAAATAGTGCCAAGATGGCAGTCTCTATGAACAACCATTTGCAGACGCTGTCATTGAAGACGACATCAATTCTATGAGTTGTAGTGTTATTTTTGTGAAAAATCATTGGAAGAAGAGAGAACATGTTGGGACTGGACAAATTATATAGTCTTTATGGGTGCAAAGGAAACAATGTTGTTTACAATGTAACGTGCTGTTGACCTCATGACCTGTGATGTGTAGATCACGTGATATGGATATCATAGCTATTGACTGTGTCTGAGATACTTCTCCGCAGGTAGCGTGTCTCAGATGTTCAGAATAATCAACAGCATGCAGGAGGAAACGACTTTCGTCGATCCGGTGTATTCTCCTCCATGATCTTATGTTCCACCGCTACCTGACGCTTGTTGTGATTTGTGAGCTGTGGACGCTTGATGACTCTTAATCCAACAGCTTTGAGGCGGTTTCTCACAGTCTGGTTGCTCAAGCGGCGATGGGGTAACCAGGCCTGTTTCAGAAGGGTGCTTGAACCAAATGGCTGGCGTCTAACATGCCGTAACAAAGCTCTATCCTCCTGGGGCGTTGTAGCTTTAAGTTATATTTTTAAAATTTATTAAAATAAAGCCTTAAAATAGATGATATCTATAAACAGTCCTACCTCGTTAAAGAATAATCCTATTAATCCTATAATTCACTATTGCCAGTTGAGAAATTTGCAAAAATATCATTTTCAATTTTAAATTCAAACGTTTGAAGATAGCCCATAGGCGTACGGGGAAATTTTTGACTGGGGGCGGGCGGTGGTGGTTGTTGCCCAAAAAATGTAGTTAGGTTCTTAGTATGTTACATAATAATAAAAAATTCGCTGTTAAATTGGACACATTCAAGAATACAATATTTTTTTTATACAACTTTGACATGGTATTCCATGGGGGGGGGGGGGGGGGGGGAAATAGAAAAACAAGGGAGTTTATTGTGTTATTATTTCCGGGGTCAAAGGATTTTTAAGTGGGAGAATAATACCTATGATCGTATAATAGTGAGTTGACAACCTGTTGAGGAAAAGTCATAGAAATAATTATGTTTTGACTTTCTTAGAAAATAGGAAATTATCGCTTTAAGGCTTATTCGTAGAGCGTCGCGCCTAATAACAGCAACAAGATGCGTAGCGCTTGGGATCCAGTGTCGTTCTTGGTCCAAAAATCACGTTAGTTAACTTCGTAAGACTGGAATCTTTCGGAACTTTGAATAAAAAATTCCAGTTGGTTTACCCGAACATCGATAATCCAGAACAAAACGAACTTTATTTAGACCTGTAAAACTAGCTTACTATCAGGTAATGATCAGCATCGACGCCTTTAATGATAATAAAATGTATACATCACAAACTTACTCTTGTTGGAGGAGTGATTGTAGGTAGATGCAGGTCACTTTTGTCGAGCAATGTGTGGAGATATGTATCATCCTTTTCTGTACAAAGAGAAAAAAAAACAAAGTTAGGTCTAATACTTTTCATTATTATTTTTAGCTGTGTATGTTTATCAAATAGGTGTTTGCAACCAGGGATTTTCGGGGCGATTTTATTACATCGACTGTGGCTTACCTGTAATACGATATAGAAAAAGCTCTTTAAACACTCGCGTTTGCAGCTGCATTTTTATTGTTAGACATTAAAGTCCGGCAGAACTATGGCTCAACCTGGAAATTGTATAAGAAGTTTTTTTATGATATATTTTAATAGTCGAGGGTGTCCTCTTTCAGAATCCCCTCTAACTCCCATAGTATTTAGTCTAGGATGCTAATTTTTGGGGCCAAGGAATATACTGAAATCGTTAGATGATAGTAAAATCCAAACTGCCAGAACATATGGCCCTATAACTCGATAGCGGCGGTTGGGGTCGCTTATTTCACCAAACCAAACTATATCTAGAGACAAACTATATATTTCTGGACACAGGAGCATATGAGTGATGCGATAACACCACATACATGCCTACCAGGGGTTCCAGGACGACATGGGTTGGCCCTGAAAAGAGGGGCACAAGCTGTTTTTTGGAATATTTAAAAAACAAATTCTACCCGCAAAACACGAAAATAACCCCCACAGAACTAGGTAATGTTCAGTTTGATCGTTTAGTCTTGTTTCAGACTGCAACCTGCGACAGCACAAGCGCAAAATGCTGTACATTCTAAGCCATCACTAGAGCAGCTACAAGCAAGCGTACTGCATGGGCTGTCACTCTTGCATCCACATCTGATGAGCCACATGACAGACTGCTGAGCAAGCTGACGGTTGTAATGTTCTCAATTAAGAAAACCTTCACCGATCAATACAGTTCCAGATCAAGTTCCGACGGATTACGATCTTCCAGAACGCCTCACAACAACTTGGTGGTGACATCTTTTTACGTTCCCTACAAATTCATCATTCGTTGGAGCAAGACTACCTTGTTTTTGGTGGGGGTGATGACGATACATTTCCAGTTTTGGATACCTATATATACCTTTCAGCGTGTTTCAGACAACGATTTACAAGAGCTCTGTCCATAACATGCTGACTCGCCAATCAAGGAAAGAACAACCGTTGACATTGGTCAAACTACGGGGAAACACATGTCAATTATCAACGAAATCCTGCCAGCTCATGCGCTTGATATGACAGTTACATGCTGCTATACCTCGTGGGGTAATGAACAGCTTTGAAGTGGTGAGAGCTTGCTTGTATTCTCTCTCACTTGTCGGAGTAGTAGACGCTCCAATAGAAACAGTGCTTACACAGGCTACTGTATTTATGTCTGCTTGTTATGGACAGAGTTCTAGCAAATCGATGTCTGAAACACGTTGGAGGGTATGGACATCCAAAATTGGAAATGTATCGTCATCATCCCCACCCAAACCATGTAGTCTTGCTCACCGAATGATGCATTTGCAGAGAACGGAAAATGAGCTCATCATCAAGCTATTGTTTGGCGTTCACTAAAGATGGTAATCCGCCGGAACTTGATCCGGAACTGTATTGCTGAGGGAAGGATATTTAATAATTATTAAGAACAATACAACCAGCAAACTTGCTCCGGAGTCTGTTATGTGGCTCATCAGATGCGGATGCAAGAGTGACACCCCATGTAGTACGCTTGCTTGTAGCTGCACATATTATAGTACGCTTGCTTGTGGTCTTGCTCAACGAATGGTGCATTTGTAGAGAACGGAAAATGAGCTCATCACCAAGCTATTGTTAAGCGTTCACTGAAGATGCTAATCCGCCGGAACTTGATCCGGAACTGTATTGCTGGGGGAAGGATACTTAATAATTACTAAGAACAATACAACCAGCCAACTTGCCTCGGTGTCTGTTATGTGGCTCATCAGATGCGGATGCAAGAGTGACATCCTATGTAGTACGCTTGCTTGTAGCTGCACATGGCTTAAAATGTACAGTATTTTTCGCCTTTGTTGTTTCAGCCAGGGACACGACTAAAGGATTAAACTGAATATCGCCTAGTTTTGTGGGAGTTATTTTCGTCTTTTGCGGGTAGAATTTTTTTTTTAAAATGTTAAAAAACCCAGCCTGCACTCCCCTTTTCAGTGCCGGCCCATGTGGCCCTGGAACCCCTGATACTATGTGGTGTTGTCGTATTACTCATATGCTCCTATATCCAAAAATATACAGTTTGTCTCAAGATATAGTTTGGTTTGGTGAAATAATGGCCCTCAACCGCCGCTAACTTTGTTTGTACACAATTTCCAGGTTCGCTCGAAATATTGGGTTTGGCGACGGACTATTAGAACTACATAAAAGAAACCAACAAAAAGAAGGCAAATCAAGTTGCCACGCATATATTTCTGAATAACTATATTTCATGTCAAATGTCGTTATTATACAATACAAATTGGTGGCATCAACAATTATTGACACGAACTATCTCCGAAGCTGAACGTATATACACTAATGGTTTTCTATTGGTACGAACCTGTAATAAGAAAGTCACGTATTTTCTTTACTAGGTCGAATGTGATCGTCTTCTTGTTTTCATTTCCTAATATAGTTTTCAGTTCATGTTTTAATCTTTCCTCACATCCGTCACAATCTACCACCGTAGAAGCATAATTCTTTATTTTCTCAGTGAGAATAACCTCCGGCTCGTAATTCTCCATTTCCCTGAGTACTGGCCCTCTTTTCTGACTGGACAATCAAGTCACGTTATCTGATGCAACTTCGCCTAAAAGCTCATCAACATTCCTGAAAATCCAAGCAACAATCGGGAACAAAACAACTAGTAACCCAAAGGTGTTGATTTATTTTATTAATATTTTATTTATCTGTGCGTAATACACGATTATCAAGATATAGAAAACCACAAGCAAATTGTCCTCGGATATAGAAAGTTTCGATAGTGGACGAATCGTCGTAGAAATATGGTTTCCGGTTAGCGTTTATGTTGCGAAATGGCTCAAGAACGAAGAAGAAAATGGCTGCCCAGTTATGGCTAGACGATGAAAATTCATCCCACTCCCAATCGAGTAAAGATGATGTTCAAGACCTTTTTGTGTTTGGTTATGCCTGTAAAGTTTTTAGGAATGATGAAAAGGCTTTGTACGTGGACAAAGGAAAACACCTTATTCCATGGATGGGAGATGAAAGACTCATGATTGACAGGTCGGTGAACTCTTCACGTGTTAGGATTTCTTCGGAATAAAAGGTTTAACGTCGTTCGGGTCGATTAGTCGCGCGTGTATTAATCATATTTTGCCTTTCAGCTTTTTGATTAAATATTTGAGACAGTACATTACCAAAATGATGGAAGATATAGACAATTAGTTGTATATGAATAAGGTATGTTTTTACAACGCTGTCTCTGCTATCACAACTGACGTCATTAATTGTTATCAGATTTGACATTGACAGCCCAACTACCTATATCTGATATCTGTCCATTGACCACAATATTAACAACAGACAGGTAAGCATGTTGGCAGGTGGATACAGAACAGTGGACTTTAAAGCTGAAAACAGTACATGTATATGAAGCTGAATCAAGCTATCAGGGGTTTTGATTCAAATATTGATTTACGTTTACTTAAATCAAGTAAAGTAAATAATAGATTTAAAACGAAAAATAAGACACTCACTTGGATGCAAGTATTTCAAAATCCTAAAATATAGTTGATAAACTGAAAATTTAATAAATGTAGCAGCATGTCATACATTAGTGACCCCCCCTAGACATTTGTCAATTCGCCAGTGGCGATAATTCTTTTTATTGGCAATCAAATTGATGATAATGGCGAAAGTTTTGGTGAATGAATTTTAGAGAGTGTAATTTCGAAAATCTTCTAATTTAAATTGAAATTGTCTAGTTCAACACTTCTTTCGATTGACTCGATGTAGTGTCTATTTAGTACTTAAATTAAATCATTAATTGACTCTAGTCTCAATCTTGCAAGTGGCAAATTAGTCAATGGTTACACATTTTAAAAACGAAGGAGAATTGAGCCTCGTGACGACTTAACTTTCAAACACAGTTACATCCCCTTGGTATGGCATTGCTGTGTTTTACTTTTGCTTAGCTATAATTTTACCAATTTTTTTTCAAATTTATAATACCGTTAATGAATAATGATTACTAATATTTATTTACCAAACCGAAAATAAGGATAGATTCATTTTTACAACCTTCATCCGCGAAGCACATGATTAACGAAACGGCAGATACAACTTCTACTTCTTCCAGAAAGTTACTGATGGCGACAATGTGAACGTGATTGATGTGATAAGGAGTGTACGAGTGACACTTGTATGACAGAATCTCATTTTTTGTTGCCTGCATCCTTGCAAATGTGAACTTTCGGACAGTTCAGGGAATAAAATAATACTCTTGTGTATTAAATAAGTAAAATATTTATTTTTAATTAACAAACACATGAATAGAAATATAATATTTGGCTACAAGTTTCTGAATTGGCTAATAAAATTTTTGTTTCGCTAACGGTTTTAAGAGTCTAGGGCGGTCACTGTTACATGTATGCTTAATGCACAGGTTTTATTATAACAAATTTATTTTATTTACAGAAATATAAAAATAAATTATTTGTTCTTAAATTCATAAGTAAATTGTTTAATAAAGGGAAATGATATCGGTCTTATTCCAATCTAAATATTTGTATCCAAAAGAGTTTCTTGAATAGCAAAGGCAACATTTTTGTCTGTGATGGTGGGTGCCTTCAAAATAGACTGATTTCCTTTTTTTTTAATACGATAATTTCATATAAAGAATAATTCTCTAAAATACATTTATTATAAATGTATCCATACTACAATACTGGTCGCAAATCTTGTTTCTCTTCCAAAAACTCTGTTTAAGACATCCTTTACAAATATAAAATGTTGCTTTTAAGGTGTTTGCATTACTTTTCAGATAATTCTAATTGTATCTAATCATAAACTGTTTGATCTAATCTATAAAAAATAAGAAATCGCTGCTTATGCTGAACTAATTTCCTTCAGTTTACTATTTTAATCTATAAAGCTTTAGATTCTAATTATATTTCTGTTTGAATACAGAATCTTATGAAATCAATAAACTTGAAACAAAATAATTGGAGGACTGATGGTGATGCAAATAACTTCAGGTTTAATTAGCTGTATATATCTAGCTATACTGTTCTCAATATCATTCAATATGAAATATATATTTTTAAAATACTGGTGATATATCCCCCACCCCAAAAAAAAAAATAAATAAAAATATCTGGTTTCATTCATCCAATTTATTTTATTTTTTGTACTCCATTTCTGATATTTATTAACTACTTATGATTAGACAGGTTAAAATAAATATAAAGCTCAGAGAATGTGAAGAGTAAAATATTGATCTGAGAACAGTATGTGCTATATAGACACACCATAAAATGGTTAATGTGATATAACAAACGGCTAACTGTTCAGCATGTGATATTAAGATATAGTCAAACATATTTAGACTCTTGATTACCCTTTCTTATTAGCTTACTTTGATTAACAGGTATGATGGGCGTGGTCATTTATATGATCTAAAGAGCGTGGATGCTGATAATGTAGCAAAGAAGGATTTAACAGATGAAGAAGAACAGATAGAGAAATTATGTGACGAAGAAAGATATTTAGAATTAAATACAGATATAGCTGAGAAAACTGTTTATGAAGGTGAGTACAAACTACCTACATAATTAGGCCACACCAATTTGAATTTCTGTTATAATTTGTGTGTAATCATCAAATCCCAGTATCAGCGTTATTGTGATTACTCAGTACCACTCAGTGAACTCGAGAAATGTAAGTTTACAGTAAATATGTTTTACGAAAATAAATATTTCTATTTATAGAAGAAGAATGGAAAAGATATTATGAAGCCTTACAGACTGGTTATAATGCTGTAGGTTTTAGTTATGAACAGCCTAGACATGAAGATGACATTTATCATCAAGGTAATTACATATAACTTTCGTATATGTGGTTTTATATTGAACATGTCAGCGAAATGCAGTAAACTTCAATAATACAATGATTTTCAAACTATTAAAGTTTGTTAAAATCCATAATAATCCTGATCAAAAACATAAAATTAGAAACAGATGAAATCACAGACCTGTGAATCACAGTCTTGATCAGTAGGGAATTGATTGAATCCCCTCAATCCCATGAAAACTGACAATTGAGTAAATACCAGGATTTCGGTTGACAAGACATACTCTTGATCAGAGTTTCTCTTTCATAACTTTTTCAGTCAGAAGTTTTTACTGTTCAATGTTTATGCAATCTTAACCCAAACACCTAAACTCATAGTACATCTATTCAACTGTTTTATACCATGACATGCTTTTTCATTGATGATTGTAGAGAGAAATTTCACATATTTACTTGGTGTTTATAATGAGTTAACAACATCAGAGTCTACTGTATGGCTTTTTTCGTTTATATAGTTCCAGAGCACATCATCCACAGTGATCCACTGTCAGTTTAAAAAAGCATCTGATTAATAGCATGGGTACCTTGGTTACCTAAAAATGCAGTCATCAAATTAAGTAATGGTTTTAAGCAAATAAAACATTACATCACATCTATTCAATATTGTATTCATTAATGTTACAGTGTGCACAAGAACATTTTGATAATTTACACAATATATTGCTTTTTCTTCAGTGTTCTTTTTTATACATCCACATTATGAATTTTGAATGTTGACGTACATGTATTATGCCTCCACCCCTGTGTGTGTCTATGGGTCACCTACAGGGCACAATTTTTTATGGATTGTCTTGAAACTTTGCATACTTATTCCTTATATATGTATCATTTTTTGTATTTGGTTGTTTGTCATATACAGGATGCAGTTCTTAACTGATGATCTTGAAACTGTGGATACTTATTCCTTACACCCTAAAGATCACCCCTTTTGTTTTTGGTGTATGCCTATCCCCCAGGGGCAGAGCCAGATCCATTTTCTGTGTCTCACCTACAGGCCGCAATTCTTAATGGATCGTCTTGAAAACTGTTCATACTTATTCCTAAAACACTAAGGATGACCTCTATTATTTTTGGTGCATGCCAAATCCCATGGGTCAGAGCCACACCCAATTTTTGTGTGTCTTTGTATCGGCTACAGGTCGCAACTCTTTACAGATCCTTTTAAACCTTTGCATACCTATTACTTATACCTTAAGGATGATCCTAATATTTTTGGTGAATGCCCGACCCCCAGGGGCTGAGCCACACCCATTTTTGCTTTGCGGGTCTGTGGGTTGCCTATGGGCCACAATTCTGAACGGAGCATCTTCAAACTTGGCATATGTATTCTGTACAGCGTAAAGGTGGCTGCTATGGATTTTGGTGCATGTCCCGACCCCAGGGTCAGAGCCACGCCCATTTTTTGTGTTTAGCTCCTGAAGGCCAAAATTCTGAATGGATTATCTTGGAACTTAGTATACTTATTCCTTATACCCCAATGACAGCAACTATTGATTTTGGTACATGGTCTGTCCTCTTTGGGCAGTGCTACACCCATTTTTTGTGAAACATACATTATGCATGAGTTAAATCTGCCTATTGCAGGTCTTTCCTTAGGCTGAAATGTTTTCTAAATTATTAATTAGACATTAATTAACTTATCCAGGGCATAATCTACTCTTGATAGCATCAGATTTCTCCGATATTAATTAGATTAGAACAGTTCAGACATATTTTGATTTAAGCTAAAAATGGAGGTGTGAGACTTAGCTTTGAACAACCAGTATGGTGGTTGGAATTATTGCACTCGTCTTGTCAAACCTTCAAAGGCTAATATATTTGCTTGCAATAGAGTAATTTGAATGAAATTTTCAAATTATTCATTTTACATTATCTATTTTCGAACTATTATAGCAAGAATGGCTAGCTCTTTATCTAAATCTTACATAATGTATCTTTAATATTTTGTCTGTTAATTTGTCTACAGGTTGCAATTATTAACATATTTGGATCACCTTCAGTATTATCCACCATAGGGTTGTAGTTGTACCTATTTATATTGATCCATGTCTAACCCCCAGGGGCAGAGCCACACCCAATTTCTGTGGTTTTTTTTGTCTGCAGGCTGGAATTCTGAATCTGAATGGATCATCGTGGAACTTGGCACAATTATTCCTTATACCGTAAAAATGTAGCAACTATTTATTTTGGTGCATGTCCCGACTCCCAGGGGTGGTGTCACACCCACTTTATTTTAAAAAGTACCATATGAATCAAAGCAGGAATGTGGACGTATATTGCAGCGATAGCGATGCCCTCATTGACTAGAGCTATAAGTAATTATTGAAAAAAAGCTATTTAATTATGGAATCTAAGCATTTATGATTTTTTACTACATCCTAAAATTATTCTTACAGATGTCCATCAGCCAGAAGAAGAAAAACCCTTTATCCCCCCTCCCGGATTATGTGTTCCTATTCATCTAGAATTAGTAAGTATTTTATATACTACTATTACTACAGTTATTTATTGTGTGTATGAAGTTGAGAAGTTATAAGAGATTTGTTGGAGATGCTTAGTACACTTATATAGAACACTCAATACCATAACAATGCAATGTGAGTAAGTGGCAACAATAGATCAAAATGTCTAACAAGGTAATCCAAAGCAGTTAGGTGTGTAAGCTTACCTAGAACAATAAGTAGTATTGTGTGTTCTGGAATGAGTAAGCATACCCTGCCTTGAGGATGAAGCTGTATAATTTGTTTATACATATTAATAGATAACTATTTGAAAATTTGTTTAAAGATAGACTGTCGCAAGGATTTCATAAATATAAATTCTATCTTTTTTAGCCAGCGACCGTGAAGATAAATGCTGTTATTGAAAAGACGGCTAAGTTTATAGCAGAACATGGTGCCCAGATGGAAATCGTACTTAAAGCTAAACAAGCTGGAAATAGTCAGTTTGATTTTCTAGATTATAATGGACCACTTAATGGTTACTATAAATTTATGGTCAGTATCATCAAGAGTGGAAAATATGTACCCAAATCAGATGCTGCAGAAATACAGAGACAAGAAAGTAAGTATCTACATCTGATTGACCCTTTGGCCAATTTTGGCAAGTAGCTACTTGTGATGGGTGCTGTACACATGTCAGGGTTGGTTTTCTGTAACACAGCTGATGCCACTTGCTGCTGGGCGTTTAAGAGTGAGTACTTCCATGACTATGGCACTGGCTCACTAGCCTAAGAGTGCCTGGCAAAAGCATCTGGTCGTTCATGTGCGGCGTTAACGAAAAACTGCGATCCTGTGTAAATCATTGGTAAGACGTTAACGGTTCTCTGCATTACAAAATCGACATTAGGGTTGCTGTCTGGGCAAAACTTCCCTCATGGTGCACTGCATGGCATAAGTTCATCGTAATTTCCAAAGGCCAACAGTTCTATATTCATCCTGACAATGATAGTAAAGTCATTTGCAATTCACCGTGACATTTATTGTATATGCTGCATTCATGTGCTGCTGATTCTATGTTTTGTTTAGAGTTGGTATGCATAGTCTTTTTGTAAACCTACAAAATAACAGGAACTCTCCACAGCACATATATGTCTCAATTTTAAGATACATTTTAAGTGACTAACTATTATTATTATTGTAGGTCATGAAGGGTATGATCATCATGAACATGGTTATTTACATAAATCATTAGATACAACTAAAGTGGAAGTAAGTATTTGACATATGATGTATTTTCATTTATTTTATCTCTAGAATTTATATAACAGGAGAAAGAAGAGTTTGAAAATATTAGCTAAAACAGGTTATATTAAGTTCTTCCCTCCCTTGTGTACATAAACAGTTTATTTTGAATTCAATCCTTTGTTGAGAATCCATCAATAGTGCAGAATATGTGGGACATATAATGTTGTTGCACTGTATCATCACCATCCACCCCTTCCCCAAATAGATTTCATTGAAATTTTCCTCTAATAAGCCAATTTCTCGACATCATCCATGTTTTCATGGTTTACTCATTAATTTGAAGGCCATTATATACAAGTTTGACTTGAATATTATTTATACTTCATATTTGTTTGTGTTTTAATACATGTGTGTTTATTTTCAGCCTGTTAAATCAGTAAAGATACCTGTAGTTTCTATACATGATACACCATATGGTCAACTTATTAAATCCATTAAAAAACATCATAGAGATGAAGCAGAGTAAGTTTATGTAATAACTGAGAGATATAAACTTAGGCCATTTAAAGAAAATATTCTACTGTTTGTTCCAGGAGAGACCTGACTCAGAAATTCCTAACCATTTTTTCAGTTTTTAATTTAAATGGCCAAATGTCATTTAATTTTTCAAGGGGGGTTATATAACTTGAAAGTAATGGGATAGCAATCCCAGGTATTTCACTAAGGTTTAACCATTTTAATTGAAAATTGAAGAAATGGCAAGCCATTTTCGATGTCGTAGTGTCACCTGGAACAACAGTAGTTAGTGGATAATGCTTCATCGCTTAGAAAGGACTGTATGACCAAATTTATATTTTAATATATAAGAGAAATAGAAAAATCTACGTTGATTACATATTTCCTAGAGTGAGTAAAGGGAAGAAACCATATTCAGTTTTCTGGTTGAAGTGAGGCTCGATTGTCAAGTATGCAACCATTACAAATTTATTGTTATTGACAATCATAATTGGAACTGGACGATCGTGATAATAGGAAATGTCAACTTTTACTTTTAAAACTGGTTCACAACATTAGCAATAATGAATTATTTTTCTACTTCTGCAGGCTATAATAATATACCTAGGTCCTATTTTACAAAGAGTTATTGTACATATAAATCAAACGTCTTTGTACACAAGTTAACCATTATTTTCATAGTGGCTGCATTTCTATGACAAGCTGCAGTTTTGCATCCTATTGATATATAAAAACTAATATAACTTAATGATTAATTTAAGATAATATTGTTTGTTTTAGATCCACTAATAGTTCACTTCAACCACCACCTCTACCACCATACACACAGCAACCATATCATGATAGAGAAGATAGTGGACATGATGATGTACAAACATATGGAAATGATGGTAATAGACAATCCCCTGCACCACCGGGTACTGAACCTGTAGATTTACCACGACAGCATGTATATTTAGATAATATGTCTCAACTTAAAAGGTATTCTTTTTAATTTCAGTTGATATCCAAGGTTGATCAAAATTCTTTTAGGTAAAAGTACAGCTATTGCATTTTGCAGTTATTAGTTACTTATATTAATTTCTATTTGATTACAGTGAAGAAGTTAATCCTATTATTCCCCCACCACCTGATATACAACCTATTATAGATAGAATGGCCATGTATGTTGCTAAAAATGGTAGTGAATTCGAAATGGTTGTGAAGAGTAAAAATGATGCCCGCTTTCAATTCTTGAATGATTGGCATGTTCATTTTCCTTATTATGACTTCAGAAAGAATCTTCATCAAAAGGTAAATATTTAAGTATTTGTATGAATTATTTGTTGTATAGCACTCAAAAAGTAATAAGCAAACATACAGATGCAACAAGACATAAAGTTTTGAATGCAGGTTTATATAATAATCTTGTTTTTTTTTAAAGAATAACTGAAAAATAGTTGCACAAAGTGAGCATGCACTTCTTTGTGCATTCAATTAACAGTAAAGCCACATTATACAACTCCTTTACATTGTGAAGATGACAAATCTATGTAAATTGTTTTAAATTGTAGGAGATTTTAAAAGAAAAGAAACAAAAGGAAGAAGCTACGGCAGCGTTATTGAGTAAAGGTGTTAGTTTTTCTATTAAAACAAGAACCAAAGAACCTGAGTCAGTGGCACCATTGAAGAAACCGTTATTTGATTACGGTAGTAGTGATGATAATGATGGTATGCCACTCTGAAGCAAGAAAACTTTGTGCCAGTAGTGACTGTATATAATACATACATGATGCATTTTACATCTCTTGAGGCCATATCAAAATATTATCCAGAAGGCAGCCATATTACGATATAAAATAACTTTCCCTTTATTGTTTTATGGAGTGATCGGTTGATCAAAAAGTAAAACAACATAAAATTATCTTCCGAATTTCAATTGTCAGTGTTTATTGTAACATAATATCTGTTTCATACTGCAAAGTTTTCTTGCTTAAATGATATGTTTTATTTTACGATTATAGCCTAAAAATAGTAAGAAAATGTCCTTATTATTGTGTTCTCAGTAGATAAATATATATTTGTAGTGTTAACCATAGCAAGAAATTGTTTTGTAAATAGATCATATTGGACATAATATAGTTAATATTCTGCTATGCATCTGTAAAACCACCAAGCTGTTTGTATCAAATTATTGTATTTTATTTTTATATATATTTTTTTTATTTTAGACGAATCTGATAGTCAGAAAGAAACATCTGTAGCATCATCACCTAGAACTGATAGAACAGATAATAGTAATAATAATAAACAAGAGGTTAATACAGACTCTAATACAGGTTATATGTCTTCTGATCCACTAGATGAAGTTGATGACAAAAAAATAGGTACGCTTAATACACCCCCAATTCCTTCAAAAGCAAAAATGCGCTTGCTTGCCCTCTCGAATAGTTGTTTTAGTACCTTGTGACATCATGATTTTTACACAAGAATTGTACAAAACAGTTAAATTTCTGTTGATTTTTACATTAATTTCCCAAGTGACGACAACCAAATTTTAAAAATATATATTTTATATTCCCTGTAAAGGCTATCCATTTGCAACTTCATTCTATTTTTGTTTTTATGCATCTGGATTAAATAGAAATAGAAGAGTTATACATTTTTGCAATTTATCAAAAATCTCTATTATTATCCTTAAATGACATTTAGAAGTAGAGGTATAATGTGTTATTATGAATCTCTATTATTGTTTTACCAAATTGGTACCACTTGTCTGAGAAATAAAGATGTCACAAGGTATTTGACATCATATTTTTGTAACTAGTTACACTAATTGTATTTATATAGCTGAGGATCGACTGATGAACAGATTAGCATCTGCTGCTAGAGAAAAGTTAGCACAGACGAGTAAAGAGAAACAAATACAAGCAGAAAGAAAGAGAAAGGCAGCCATGTTTATTTCACTACTTAAAGGAAAGAATGGTTCTGGACCTGGTTAGTATTAAATGTATAAATTTTATGTGGATGTATATTGTCACTATAACCTCTACAAATTCTACAGGCTATGCTGTTATTTTTTATGTTAAATTTCTACACAGTGTTTATGTTAAAATTCTGCAGGCTGCACTGTTATTGTTTATGTTACAATTCAACGGCTTACACTGTGATTGTGTATGTTAAAATTCTACAGGCTACACTGATTGTTAAAGGAGGGTTGGGTGGTTGAGTGGTCTAATGCATACACTTTAGATCAAAGGTCTGTTATTGAGTCAAGTGGTGTGATTTTGATCCCATGCTTGTATGTGACAAGGAGTAAGGTCGCATGTCCAACCTTGTGGGGTTTCTGTCAAAGTCCACTGCATATGACCCCTATGCACAAGTAAATTATTGAAATAAAGATTGTATCATTATGTTAGTCCCAAAATAACATAGTTTTGCTTGAATGGATGTTCTAATTTCTTCCTCTCTTTATGATAAAATTCTTCATATTACATTAATGGTTTATGTAAAAATTCTAGTCTACCTGCACTGTTAGTGTGTTATTGTTTATGTTAAATTTCTACAGGCTACACTGTTATGTTTATGTTAAAATTCTGCAGGCTACACTTTTATTTTTTATGTTAAAATTCTACAAACTACACTGTTATTGTTTATGTTAAAATTCTACACTGTTATTTATTGTTTATGTTGTGATTTATGAAGAAATGATTATATTGTAATTACTTTCTTTTCTAATCATCCTAAAAATATTTGGCAGGTACTAAGAGGCATGATGTAAAGTTTTGTGTTCTAAATGAATGCTGTTAGTGGACATCAGTAGATTTATGTATTTATTATTTTAGATGAGAATGAGAAGAAAACACCAGTTGTATTTGATTATGGCCACAAATCATTAGGTTCTAAATCTCAATCACCTATCAGTGATAACAGAGGTGTTTCACCTCCAAAGTCTTTTAGTAAAATTAGAAGGTAAGTAACTCATATTCAACCATTTCCTGCCAATTAAGACTTCAAATCATACAGAAATTACAGTTTACTCTCTATTCTGGTACCAACTTTACTTTCTTTAGTTTCCTCTTTATGTCTAAAAAATCTATTTATACGCCCACATTTTCATGTGGACATATAATGTCGTCGCCCCTGTCCAGACGTCCGTCTGTCTGTACGTCTACAATTTCTTTGTGGACACTCTACAGGTCACAATTTTTATCCGATTTTGACGAAACTTGAAATATAGATCTATCTCCCAAAGATCTCATTCCTTTCGATATTGGCATGTATCGGTCCATAACTTCATGGATTATGGCCCCTGATTGTACGAAAAATCATGTTTTTAGCTTGTGGACACTCTAGAGGTCACAATTTTCATCTGATTTTGATGAAACATGAAATACATGTTTATGACCCAAAGATCTTGTTTCCTTTTGATATTTGTGCATATCGGATCGTAACTTCCTGAATTATGGCCCTTGATTATATGAAAAATCGCGTTTTTAGCTTGCGGTCCCTCTAGAGGTCACAATTATCATCCGATTTAAAAAAATATCACTGTTACACTGTAATAACGCTTGAGTTCGAATATCATGAAAATCCGGCCGGAACAGCCGGACAAAATGGCCGCCCCTCGTTCGCAAATAGGTTGGTTCCTATCGATATTCGCGCATATCGGATCGTAACTTCCTGAATTATGGCCCTTGATTGTACGAAAAATTGTTTTTTGTTTAACTTGTTCTCTTTCCATCTCTTGCAAAATGTGGGCGTATCCTGCCTGGCAGCCGCTGGTTTACAAAAATATGCGACAGCCTTTTCAACTGCTCAGACAATTTAGCAGCTGTGTGTGTATTGTTTCGTTGCATTACAAACCTATCTTTTTTTTTAAATATATTTATTAGTGTTTGTCATGACAAAAATAGTCTACATAGGGAAAGGATCTTATGGTAATCTCTTGTAACTATATTTATGTTTAATTTACCTCAAAACTTAGGTTCTAGTGTCTGTGAATTTACTTATACTTTCAGATCCAGATCACGATCTCCAGTCAGAAAGAATTCTTATTATTCTAGTAGTAGTTCTCGGAAGTCGAGATCCCCGTATGTGAGTCGCCAAAGAACGCCTAGAACGTCTCCAAAAAGAAGAAGCCGAACTCCTAGAATTTCTCCTAAGCGATCAAGGTCACCAAAACATAAATCTCCTAGAATTAGTCCCAGAAGAAGTAAATCGCCTAGTAAATCTAGATCAGAACACAGATCTTCTAGAAGTAAATCTAGATCGGATGACAGATCTTCTAGATCGAGATACACATCCAGAAGACATTCTAGATCCAAAGAAAAAAGTGTGAGTGAAAAATCTAAAATTGAAATTCCCCCCAGTGAAACAATCGAGTCCCTTAAACTTATGATAAAACAGGAAAAATTGGACCCAATCTTTGATAAAGCTAGTAATACCAATATCAGCCTTATTGACAATTCTATATTAAATACTGATCATCCTAGTGATAATAGTGAGCACATTTCTAACATTGTGATGGGACAAACTGAAAAATCAACGGACAGTGAAAACAGTAAGTTAGAGTCAAATGATGTGTTAAGCGATGTTGAAGAAAAAAATAAAAAAATAAGTGAAACAGACAATGACCCTCAAACTACTGATAATATCCCTCCACCTATAGATAAACCAGAACCACCTCCTGAAGAATCAGATGATGATATTGCCATCATAGAACCCCCACCAAAAATACTACCAGAGCCCGAACTTGTGGTTGATCTGACAGTAGTTATTGACAGTGATTCTGATAATGAAAAAAAGTCTTCAAAGAAATCTAAAAACGCTAAAAAAAGAAAAAGTCGTTCAAGATCCCCTGTTGCTAAGAAAAAGTATAGAAGGTCAAGGTCACCTACTTATAGTAGACCAAGACGAAGATCCCCATCCCCCCTACCTCCACGAAGGCGAAGATCACGATCCAAAACACCAAAACGAAGGAGCCGGTCAAGGTCCATTGCTAAGAAAAGTCGTCACGCAACATATAAGACATCAAAAAAACATCGATCTAGATCAAGATCCCCTACAAAACATAGAAAACAAAGGTCACCATCTCCTAAAAGAAAGTCTCGCTCAAGGTCTCCGATCAAGAAAACATCAAGATATAAGTCAAAGTCTCGGTCACCTAGAAGTAAAAGGTCAAGAACTCCTAAAGTCAAAAAGAGTAAAAAGAATAAATCACCATCAAGGTATTACATCGATTATTATATTAATATTTATATAACAATAATATTATCTTTATTTTGGTGGAAAATACTAGGTTTTTTTCATGAAGAAAGACTGAGACGGAAAACAGGTAAAATGTACAAATTGCTAGTGGAATTTCAAAAAAATAAGCAAAAATATTGCTGTGGGTAGATTTCCCCTCCTTAACATTGAACACAAACAGTCAGAGTTTTAACAGTTTTCTTTTAAACATACTAGATTGTTTGGCTAATCCTTTAAAGGAACCTGTAATATGTAGGATGGCTATGGAAGGTAGTGATGGGGGGGGGGATAAATAAGACAACTATCTTCATCGCCGTAAAGGTGGTAACTCACTTTATTTGCAAATTACATAACAGGATTACTTAATATTTAGGAGCACGAAATCATTAACCTGAAAGGAAATAGTGTCTCATAATGCCAGAAAACTCTATCAGGAATGTATAATAATCATTTTGAAGTATCAGATAAATCTTTAGTATTTGGTTGTAAATCAATGCAGACAGTTTCTATTATGGTGTATTCAGTATTGTTTGTTTTCACTTACAGGTCACCTAAATTACATAAAAAGAAGAAAAATAAAGACAAGGATAGGGAACGAGAAGAAGGAGGCAAAAGTAAAGAAAAGACATCAGCATTTAAAAGTTTAGCAGAAGTAGTTGAAAGTCATAGTAAAAAAGATAAATTAGAAGAGAGACTTGAGACTAAAGAAGAAACAGATAATACAAAGTAAGATATTTCATAGATTATTATTGCTCGCACCAAACAAACTTGAAGGGGAGGGGCAAGTATTTATTATCTCTTGAGTGAGGTTCATTATCCATTTGTGGAGAGATATTGAAATAGGCTCCGCTCTGGATTTTGTATTATTGTGTTATACTCTTCATTTGAAATGATTCTTAAAATTTTTACTTAGTTCATATGTTGGAAACTGGCAATTTTTGCTATTATTTATTTGAGCAGTATTTCTATTTATAATATAAAGCAGAAAGTTTCTAACCAAAATATGAATGATTACTTAAAAATATAACAATAGTAGAATCATTAAAACTCAGTTACTATTCATTACTTATATTTATTACCAGGTATTCTATTGAGTCGAATGAAACATCACAAGATGTACCTTATGAATTAACATCTTCTCCAGCACCACCTACTGTAAGTATTACATATACTGTTTACTCTTAAAATTCTACAATTTTTATGTGTATTTGAAATACAACGTGCAAATCTAAAACCTAAGTGTGAAATAAAAGAGTAAGTTTTGATATGCCCAAATTGTATATACAATACAGCCACATTCTACATATCCCTAACATGATCAGTGGATCATGAACAAATTCTATGGAGAATCGAATCAAGAAATATTCTTTTCAAACAAATGTAAAACCCTCTAAATATTCAGCTTTCTGCGATCTTCCGTTCCAGAGTTAACCTCCCCTTTTCCGAAAACCCTGTGAACACGATAGAGCCTGCAGTTTTTAACAGATTTTTTTCAAGCATTGAGATCAGGTCCTGAGTTCACAAAGCATTCTAAGGCTTAAGTTAAGAATGTTTTGTTTCATTTTAACTAAAATATAGCCCTTTATAAAACGTTTGTTGTTTTAATGTATCAAATGTAATGAAGGTTGAGTAAATTTTTACCGTAAGTCTGAGAATGTTTTGTGAATTTGGGGCCAGATTGCTTGAAGGCAAAGGATCTTTATCTAATTTGATCAACATCCAAGTTTTCATTTCGGATAAGCTGCTTTCGAAAAACATTGCTGCATGTGGGCATATTCCCACTCGTTGGGTAGCTATCTTTTAAATTTTGTTGGGATTAAGTAGAACCCGATCATAAATTCGAACCATCATATTATTATTTTGGCTCTATAATAAGCTTTTAAAAGCCATACAGGACCATATTCTTGGTGGAAGTTTTTAAAAGTTAGTTGAATTAATGAGTGGGGAAAAAATCTGATTGTAAATTACTGTATATCTCCCAATGTATTATAGTTTATGAAATCTTGTGAAAGTGATACTAGAAAAAAACTCGATGAGATTGTTTATTAGGGGGACCCCAGACTATGTTTCAGATTTTTAATTTTTCTGTTATTCTTTCAGAATTTATTAAACAAAGTTCGTGCCATGTTAAAGGCATCAAGGGATGCGATGAAAGACGATGAAGATGTGAGATAACATTGTATAGTAATTAAAGACTTTATCTATGTCAAGGATTGTATATGTTGAGTGAGGAGTGTGTTTATAAATTGTACATTGTAAATAAAAATATCTTATTAAATTGTCTTCTAATATCAGTTTGTACTTCTTTCTATTATATGAAGAGCTCCTTAGCAAACAAGAGAAATGCCATACACTTGAAAATATAAAAATGTTTTTACAAATTAAACATGCATTATGTAACAGCTCTAAATCTGTCACTAAGTGGGTAAGACTCAAGACGCTGACTGGCAAGCCTGTCTTTGACCCCTGCACTGGCCGAGAAAGTTTGTCCAGATTTTCCAGCGTGATTCAACCTTGTCAGTGATGCAGGACGGAGGGCCTGACAAGGACAGCTGTCTAGTCGTTTTGGATGGAACGAAAAACCAAGGTCCTGTGTACACATTGGCATGCACGTAAAAGATCCCTTGACAGTTGGAATTTGATATAAGAGTAGGCCATAGTGCCGCTGTCTGGGCAGAATTTTCCTCATAGCACACAGTATGGTGTATGCCCGTCTTCATTAGCCCAGTTCGGAGCAGAACAATGGACGTTAAATCCCATTTCATTTCATTTCTAAATCGGCCTGTGTCAGTTTTTTCTTTGGGCATTGAATGTTATATAAATTATTAGACATTTATGAACATGCAAAGACCTGCCATTTAATGATTTGATTTAAAAATGGAGAAGCTAAGCTAAGATCAATGCACACATTTTGTCAAAACTACAACCATTGATAACTTCGCTCAAAATAAAGTAATATGAAATTTTCAATATATTCTTTTTGCATTATCTATTTTTGAAATATAGGGAGACCGCTCAGCTCTTTAACTAAATCTTAATGCCCCTTTAATATTTAGAAATGAGAGGTTGTGGTACTGAATTTCAAAATGTTTTTTTTTTTAAAAAAAAACCAGAAGACATTTATTTCAATTGAAAAGGCTTTTGGAATATTAGGCTATCATCCTTCCAGATAATTTAGCAATATTGAAGAGCCAACACATACATCAGTATTGCCATGCACAAAGCTGAACATAGGGGCCAAAGAAAACAGGGGCTTGTGACGTTGAAAATCTCTCTCAAAAGTAATATTAAGAGGCCAAGATTTCTGCCTAAAGTCTATTTTGTCCATTATCCTTCCGGTATAAGGAAGATGATCAGATTAAGGGGCAAATAACTCATCTGAAACCCCTTTATCAGTAGAAATATACTGAGCGTCATGGAAAATGCATCACTTTTTTCCCAAATATTTTATTACTAGGTGGTTTTGTATGTATAATATTATGCAATACTATGAACTATTGTCTCACACAATGCTCCCAAACGCAAAAAAATATCGGCCCATGTGCACAAAAAAAAAATTGCACGAGATGCACATGAAAAACCCAATATTCACGTGCAGCATTGTGTGTGAGCCCTTTAAAAGCATGTTTTCAACTTAATGTGCAGTACATGAACTGTGAAACGTAAATCTGTCGTAATTTGTTGTTGGACGTGTGAAGGAATCGAGCTAGAGATGCCGAGACTTACTGAAAATCAACGGAATGAAGCCATGGGAATGTCCAGGGCTGGCATGTCTACACGTGCTATTGCCAGACACTTCGATTGTCATCAGTCCACTATTGTAAGGTGGGTGGAACGTGTTCGAGTTACTGGATCAACGTCCTGGTCCACAATGAGTTACAACCCAGGCTCAAGACCACTACATCCGGGTCACTCATCTGCGTGACAGATTCCGCCCAGCGACTCGAACAGGTGCAGCAGTCATCGGAAGACAAGGACCAGTAAGTGCCAACACCGTAAGACGTCGTCTAAGAGAAGTAGGACTCCGTGCACCACGACCTTATGTTGGAGCTATCCTCTGGGATCATCACCGTCAGCGGCGTTTGATATGGGCTCAAGGACACCAGACATGGAGAAGAGTAGACTGGCAAAGTGTGCTCTTCAGTGATGAGAGTCGCTTTCATCTTTATCACGCTGATGGCCGTCAACGTGTGTGGAGACGTCTTGGGGAACGTCTTGCAGACTGCTGCGTCTTCGAAACAAATCGATGGGGTGGGGGAAGTGTAATGGTGTGGGGAGGCTTCACATTTCATCACCGGACCGCCCTACACATTTGCAGGGGTCGCGGTAATGCTGTAGCCTACCGTGATGATGGCCCGTGGAGGGCACACGCGCTAGCTATTGACATCTGTGTCGTACTTTTGGTTTTGACCCCTCTGACTTTGTACCCTTGATTACAGATTAAACATCCATAAGTGTACAAATGTGTTGTTATTGATGTGTTCCCATTTGAATATTGTTCACAATAAGAAGCAAAATAGATAAGATATGTTTACAGGATTATTTTGTTATACGAAAAACTAAGTGATGCGTTTTCCATGGCGCTCAGTATATATAGCAAGACGAGAAACACAAATTTTACACCATTTCCCTTTAAATTTCTCAGATGTCATTTCTGTTATCCAACACATTTTTATTTGCCCAATCTCAAGGATCATTCTCACAAGACCATTATAGTGAGTTATTGCAACGGCAGAACATGGGGTAAATGTTCAGGTCGAGATCTTTGATCCCACTTATCTATGCATTAAATAGCTAATGGAAAACTGGACCATGACAAAATTACAATCCAAAACGTAGTTTTTGCTTGAATATAACTACCTGACATTTAAACATTAAAAAGAAAACTCCAGCTCCTGCAGTTATTTTATTCATTATCTAGTTTCAATCATTCAAGTTGTCTTGCATTAACTACCAAGACCGATTAGATATACAAATAACTATTCCCATGTCAAGTATAACCATCAATCTAATTTGGGCTGTCAATTCAGACAAATCTATGGCTATCCAATCAAATGTAAACCACTGCAATGGCTGAATTGATGAAAAATATAATGGACAAATAAATTATAGGATTTCTTTATTTTACAGTATTACTGATACATGTACATATAATAATTTTGTTATGAATGAAAAAAAAACTAACAAGTTTTTGTTCTATATACAAGTTCTTAAAACTTCCATCTTAATGTTAACAATTTCATTATATATATAGCTATATGAAGTTACTGCTTTACACTACATATTCTTGCTATTTATTAACAACTGTATGTTTTTGAAAGCAAAGAACGTATACATAAAATATAGAAACTCTCTAGGAAATTGTGTGTTGGGGTTTATCAAACATACCATAAGAATGTACATTATTTTCTCCTTTAACGTATTTCTAAAAAGCTGAATTAAACAAGGAACTATATCTTGAATGTAGATTGTATCTTTCTTCAAACACAACAGCCTCTCTAAATTTAGAGGATTTTTTTTTACCCCAGTCATTTGTTACTCTCTGGTTATAATTTTTTAAATAATATCCTTGGTACACTTTAGACTTAGGTTTCGCTGACAATGTTGCTTTTTACCAATTTATAGAAATGGTACATAGAACCTATTATACATTGCACTTAAAACTGTTCAACAAGAATAATTACACAGGAATGTCACAATAGCACTTTGTATAATTTGAATGGTTGCTAATAAACTAATAATTAAAACTAAAACTCTTTGATTGGGGCCAAAAATAAAATTGTCAATTTGATTTCGTTTGTGTTTGTTTTGTGAGATGAGATGAGCATCTGCCCTTGTCCAAAATTTTACACCTGTAAATAAAGCTTATGTTGAGATATAACTGACTGTTCAACAGTCAACAATAAAGCCAAAAATGAAACTAGATTTGGCAAACAAACCAACTTTTGCTCTATCTTTCGAAACAAATCACATAGAGATTGCTCCATTAATAAATAATATAACACAACAAATCAACCCAATTCAACACTTTACTTTGACCCAATTCAACAATGTTCAGCTCTTTGTCTATACTCTATTAATAAATTGATGTACCCTCAACAAAAACATGTACACACACATATTTCATTACATTCGTGTGTCAGTCCAAGAATAGAAATTTGGTTGATAGCTATTTAGCTTCTTGTGATTTCTACAAATTTAAAACTATCGTTGTTTTCTACTGTTGGGCATGAACAGAAATAATTCATCAACAAAATATTCAAATTATTACAACTTACAATAAAAAAATCCAAATATACACATCAACTACAAAAGTAACAATAACAAATAACATATTCCTATTACATATCAAGCTGGTTAAATATACTAAAGAAAAGAACAGTTGAAATAGAAATCCACTCTGCGAGCATATTAACTCTTAAACTATGGTCCATTTTAAAGAAAGGTGAAGAGGAGCGATAGATGTAATGTAACAGTGATGATTGAAATAAAAATCCTGCAGAATCTAATATTAAAAGTATTTTACAATATACAATAACAATGTACAGTCAAATTATTAATAATATTAAGGAAAGTTTCTATTTACAAAATATTTTATAGTATTTTTACTACACTATGTGTAGTAAATTAAAGATTTATTAAATAGATATTGACCATATTACTGAATACATTATACAGGATTGCTTATTTATATAATTTATGTACGACTTTCTATGTAACATAGTATGTGTTTTTTATCACCATAATATATACTCATTGTTTCTATTAATAATCTTTATTATTTAATCAATCTAACCATAACCCTTTCAGTCAGTACACCTATTATCATTCACACAAACAATGCTGAGCTAAATATCCTGCATACTCCAATGACTATTCTCCATTGTTTTATAGCCGAATTATAACACAAAGGCATGTTATAAAGCTAACAATAAAAAGGTTATCAATCAGTTGGGGCTTGTCACCAGCACTCAGGGGAAATCTCTCCAGCAGATTGTCTCTTACCTGTAGAGCATGAAGTTAGGAACAGCCTATTTGTTCAGTTGACTTTTTACATATGTGTTATAGTCTTGGGTTGTAGTTAAATCTTTAATTATTAGAAGATACAATGATGAAATGAGTAAAAAGTGATATTCATCAAAACTAAATTATTATCATATCAAATGACTTTCTTCTATTTTACACACTAAAACAACTATGAAATCATCAAATAATATAAGATTAGTTTATATGTGGCAGAAATACTATTGGGAGCCAAACAAATCCCGTAGCTGTATTTTACAGCAATGTGATAAAATAGTAGATAGCTATAGTATATGGAAACAAGTAGTTATGATCATATCACATGGGGTTCTCAGTGAACCTACATAAGACTAGCATTAACCTATTATACTTCCATCAGACTTCCATTCATACTGTGTCTCATATATGTATATAGAGTATAGCAAGTTGTATTCTATATTAACTATTTCCAGGAATTGTTTTATTTTATATTTTGGGAGAAATACATTTAAAATGAATTGGTTGTAGATACTGCTATTTTGATTACTCTACACCGGGGGGCGGAGGGGCATGATTCTGTTCTGTGTTTTTCTTCCTACTAACTAATGACAGGACCAAACATTTATCATCCAAACAAAAAGTAGTTTAAATCATTGATTATTCATCTGTGCTTAAACTTAATATTTCTTTCTTTTTATCTTCTTGCTTCATTAAACTGACATATCACATGATGAGCCCAGACAAACAATCGAGTAATATATCATTAATATTTCACAACAAGTCTGGAAGTCTTTAAATGTCTAAAATATTTCTTAAATTTCACTTTTCTGTGTCAACAGAATTTTCTTCGGGTTCTGGTTCGGGGTCAGGTTTTCTTTCCCTTGTTGGATGATGAGCAGTTGCTTGGTAGGTTTTCCTATTTTTGTCTGATCGTCTAAAAATGGTGATTTCCTGAAAAAGATGATTATAATGTATTACTGACATTACATTATTTAAAAGAGGGGTGTAAATGATCTATAACAGTCAATCTGACTTCAGGAATGCCCAAAACATTTGGTTACATTTTTGAAAAAAAAATACAACAAAAAATTTTCATCAAGGATCTTGCATTATTTTAAATGATAGTTGAATTATAAATGCAGTTCTTTGTACCAGACTGCGTTTATTTCCAAAAATGCAATTAATATCTTTTACACCGTGTGTGACCGTAATACATGTACAGTTGTAGCAGCTTTGAGTAGAAAATTCTTTAGACATATGTACTCATTTGATAAGATATTCACATAACAATTTTTATCTTTCCTTCATTAATTATCAACAAAATAACTATGATGTATACTATTCTATAACACTCATCATGAATTGACACAAAGCAATAGATTGTAGTCATGATAGAAAATGTTTTTTTTTAAAGAATATACTAGGTTTCAAGCAATTTCAGTCAATTTTTTAAGACAAGCCTTTTTCAAGTGGGGTCACTAACATTCCCATGTTACTTCTTAGGGAAATAGTCATATTATAGTTTATTACCTGTTGTTTAAAATACCGCCTCTCTTCTTCATCTACTAGCACCAAATTAAGATAATATCGTACTGAAAACTTCTTATTAATATCTCTCATTGTAGGAGTCAATTCATAACCACTTAAAAACAAACGAATAGGTATTGATTCACCTGAAAAATATAATAGATAATTTATAAGTGTTACAGAAATGTCAAATAGAAAATTTGTATTATCTGTCCATTCCTTTTTTTTTTTTTTTGACTTTTCTATCAGGGCATATTTTTTTTACATATTGACAGGTGGGCCAAGTGGCCATCAGTTTACCAATTTGACCGATCAGTCCACCAGTTTATCCCACAAATCCAACCAAATCAACATCAACTGGCGGGCATAAATTTTCTGGACTATCATGCCCTAGAACATCAATAGTTACCTATGGTCTTAATTCTACATCATAACCACCTCAAAAGCTTGTGACTTCAGTACAATTATGAATAAAATTCTCAGAAACAGTATTTTTAAGTGTTTTTTGATCCGGGAGATATGCCAGGATGCACCACATCACCACAGAGACACCTTCCCCCCCCCCCCCCCCGACATCTCCAACATGTCCACTATTGGTTCGGGGATAACAACTCTAAGCATGTTAAAAAATGGACTGCTTTCTAGGAATGAAAATTTCATATTCAAGACAATCTGATTTGTTATCGTTATCTAGAATATGATGAATAAATTTCATTGGTTGATTTGTATTAAATTAATAATTCAGTAGAAGAGTGTCTGAACCTCTAAAAACAATGAGCTTCTCAAATTTTGTACAACACATAAATCATACATCAGCAAAGAACAACACACACTACGAATGTCAAAATTCGACAACTTTACTTTTCTTAAAGACGTAACATTTCAGACTAGAAGGCAAATACAAATTTTTAGTCCATACACATTAAAAAGTAGTTTTAAAGTAGCTAAGTCTCTAACTCAATATCATCCAAAACCTTCGACAATGAAAACACAAATTATTTGTCAATTTTATTCAACATTGGTGTTGTGATCTTACCGGGAAAAGATGGGCTTCTGATATCCAATATTTAAGACAAAATAAACATTTTACGATTGGTACACGAATCGTGTACCATAATGCGTTTCAGCGCAATTTGTAACAAGCGACTCGAAGAACGAGGTTAGACATATTCCACAAGTCATGTCAAACGGTGACCCCATATTCTTATCTGGAGAGCATGGCGCAATAAATACTATCGGTGTAGACTGGAATAACCAGACGCTAGAGATTGCCATTGGATTAAGACTTCTGGCGTATTTCGCCGAACATAACTGCTTTGAAATTAGAGTAAAAACGGAAACGATTGAATGTAAATCAGTTTATTTACATTCCTATTATGTTATTATATGCGTTGCGACCCATTTGTGTCAATTTTTAGGTCCCAAATATTAGCGATTTAGCTCCTTTAATATTGGTTAAACAAGAGCATCACTGATGTTGCAATATATGTCACATTCCTGTTTTGATTGATATGGTACTTTTTAAAATGAAGAGAATGAAATGGCTGTAATATGACAAGAGGCAAAGAAGGCTAGGCGTTGGGTTTGTTTTGCCAAATTTACAGACAAAATATTTGGGGCATGCACCAAAATCAATAGTTGCCGTCCTTGGGCTATAAGGAATACATATGCCAAGTACCACACTGATCCATTCAGAATTGTGGCCTGTAGGCAACACACAGAGACTAGATGACTAACAAATAAAAGAAATGGGCGTGGCTCTGCCACTGGGAGTCGATTTTTCAAGAAGATCGATTAAGAATTGTGCCCTGTAGACGTCAGACAAAAAGAAAATGGGCGAGGCTCTGACCCTGGGGATTGAGCATATACTACGAACAATAGGGATGTTCCTTCAGATATAAAGAATAAGTATGCAAAGTTTCAAGATGATACGTTAAGAAATGCGACCCGTAAACGACAAACAAATAAATACAAGAAATGGGCGTGGCTCTGCCCCTGAGGTTTGGGCATACACCAAAAAACAATAGGAATCATCCTTAGGGTATAAGGTATAAGTATGTAAAGTTTCAAGACAATCACTGAAGAACTGCGGCCTGTAGTTGACACATACATACACACAGACAGGGACGACAGCAATATACGTCCACATTTATAAAGATAGGTTGCCAGGCAACAAAACATACGCCCACAGCTGCTAAATCGTCCGAGCGGTCAACAAGGGTTGTCGCATATTTATTCCTTTGTAGGTAATCGGGGACCTTTACAAGACAGATCAGATTATAATTTTTGTCGTTTGAGGGTTCACAAGGTTCTACAAATTGATACAAGGGTCTCAACTCTAGAAGTAATCTACAGAAATTGTTGAAATTTGACAGGCTTTTTCGTTTCATTAATTTAAATAATGCATATAAATTTCAGAAAGATAGAATGATAACTTTTGGGGTTAGAGCGTTCACAAGGTTAAACAATGTGAAACAAGGGCCATAAGTCTAGAATAAACGAAAATTGATGAAATTCAATAGGCTTCTTCGTTTCGCTAATTTAAATATTGCATATAAATGTCACAAAGATTGGATGTTAACTTTTGGCATTAGAGCGTTCACAAGGTTCAATAAAGTGAAACAAGGGCCATAACTCTAGATGTAATACACAGAAATTGCTGAAATTCAATAGGATTCTTCGTTTCACTAATTTAAATAATGCATATAAATTTTAGAAAGATAGGATGATAACTTTTTCTTTTGTCGTAATGAAACATTTATAATACACTAAAATCTGTTTAAGAGTAACAACTCATTAATAGTAAGTGCAGGAGGACCGCACTAGACGTAAAACAAAAATCTATAAGATAAACCTGCGGACAAGACAGAAAATAGACATTGCACCAAATAAACAAATATCAAATCAAGTGAATGGATCCTGGGGCGAGCCGTAAGCGCCCACTGCGCTTTACAGTCCCAGGCCTGTAGTGACACAGACTTCACTCAAATTTGAAAACAATCAGGAATACGACAGTGGTCTTAATTATCAGAAAATCATTAGAATTTGTTTGGCTTCTTGTTCTGCCCCATGTTAATGTTTAGTAGGCCTATACAATAATTACTTCATGGGTTATTACTCGTAATCAGATTTTCATGTGTTGCAAATGTTCCCATCACTGACAAAAGAAAATATGTCGAATGCCCGAACGACTCTGCTGCTGTGGGTGTGTTCCGTTGCCTGGCAACCTATCTTTTTATACTTTTGATGGCCTCTACTACATGAAGATCTGACCGGTTTTAGAGGAAGGTCGCGTCAGGAGTCATACAAGCGGCTTTTGACCTTATGATGTCAGACACTTGATTAACCAGAGTTGATGTTTCGTCCACCTCACGCCGTAATAGACCGTTTCACTGGCTAAGCCCTCACATCATCCAGATCCTAGTGTAGTGTAGTAAAGAAAAGTAAAACGAAATTTGGAACTATAAAAAATGAAACGAAATAGGATATGTGTTTTAATCAGATAGGGAATGTCTACACAAATGATTCAGGTTTTAAGTAGGTTCACTATTTTGTTTTTTTTTTAATATTTGCCATTTTAATTAAGATAGAACTTTGGCTTACACAAGAGATTAAACTACTTACCTCTTACTGGTGCACCGTCCATTATTTCATATTTAGCGATAGTTTCGTTTTCATTAAATGTATTTGGACCTAGAAAAATATAAAACATGTATGTACAACAAAGATATACATAATCCTGTATACATGTATATATATGAAAGTTTATATATTGATTTTAGTATAGAACTGTATTATTAACATAATGGATTAAATATATTATGCTTTACAATTATACAGGTCTCTAATCTACTGGTATAAAACTAAACTAATTGTATTTTGATTTTGAAACAAAACCAGCAAGCAATATCAGAGGACCAAATTGAGAAGGTTTAAAGGGGAATAGCAAAAGAAATAAAAGTTTTCTTTACATTAAATAGTCATGCTCAAAAAAACAGATTGATACAAACAACAGATTATATATTTTATAATGCTCTACAAATAAACTAACTAAATGATAATTGTACGGATAGTAAACCAAGTATTACTTTAACAATTTTTAATTTCTCATTTTTAACACATTATTCTAAAATTAAATATTTGACATTCAGTTCTTATTTATAAGGTATTTTTTCAATCTTTTAGGAAGCTTGACATTAAAATAAAGTATGGCTTCAGCTCAAGTTATTATCAACTTTGCACACAAATAAATGATAGTTCATCTAAATAATTCAGCATAAAATCAATTCATCAATTACAGCCTCAATCGATTTAGCCAACATGGTCTCTGTTTTGACTACCATGAATATAGGAATGGAAAAAAGAATGTGTTTTTAAAAAAAAATACATTGCAAATTGGTGGAATGAGACAATAATTACTTTTAAGTCATTGTTTGAATGGTATATTTATGTGAAGAGTCAAATACCACACACACGCACATTTTAAGACATTTGACCTTAACAATGTTTACTGTAGTTGAAGTGGAGAAAATTTATTCTGGTGTGACTAGAATAAATAAAGACGAATAAGAATGTTAGTTAACAGTTTATTAAGAGATATTTTCTTAAGTACAGTAGAATCTGCATTAAGCAGCCACCCAAGGGAATTTTCACAACTGACCGCTTAATGGGAGTGGTCTCTTAATTAAATCTCGGTGCTTTTTGTGCTGACATAAATTAAATATTACGCTTGGATGCATTGGAAGCGGTAAATTTGACCGTCGCTGAATCTTGCGCCAAACGAAAATTCTTTACTTAAATCTCATACATAACTTAACGAGAGTGGCCTCTTAATAAAATCTTGGTGCTTTTTGTGCTGACGTAAATTAAATATTACGCTTGAATGCATTGGAAGCGGTAAATTTGACTGTTGCTGAATCTTGCGCTAAACGAAAATTCTTTACTCAAATCTCGAACACAACTTCTGTAAACTTTTCATTTTTTACCAACCTTCGATACTACTGTCTACCATTGTGATAAATTCGATAATATTTATCTATTTTTGTGAAGAAAATCGATGAATTAAATTTTATTTTATCAAAAAAGCACATACACAAAAAAACATCGCTGATTTTATCACCTATTTACAAGGATGTAACTCTGTATGTAATATTATAGGAGGCGCTAAAACGTCTGTTTAACAATAAAGTGGCAATGGAAAAGAGATACTAGATGATCATGACAAAATTCAGTATTTTTATTTTATTCAATCAGTATCAAATAATGTGTCGTTACGCGTGAAAACAATGATCAGGTTAGTCGTTTAATAAAACAAAAGATTAATTAACAGATAATTGATTGTTATTTTTACATTTCTTTTTACCTGATCAGTGGGGGTCCAGTTAATTAATGGGATTAACTCACGGAATTAGCGGGGGTGTTACAGAGAGAAATGGGGTTTAACGTCCACTCGACACAAACTAGGTCATTTCGAGACTAACATATGTTTTTTTTAAATTTCAGTAATTCGTTTGTGTGTAGGGGTCTTTAGCAGTGGGAGGAAGCAGGAGGACCTGGAGAAAACCAATGAGGTTGGACAGGCGACCCTACTCCTTGTCACGTACAACCGGCGATTCGAAACCACGCCAGTTGACTCAATGACTGGCCGTATGATACAGCGCGCGTGTGCTAACCATTCGGCCATCCAACCCCCCTGGGGGTGTTACAAAGAACGACAAGATGGTATCATTCAACAATGGCGGTTGAATGGGCGATGTTTTGTTGAATTTATAAGTAAAATAGTGGCAGCTGGCCGCGTTAGAGGAGTGACCGTTGAATAAAGAGATGAAACAACAGAATTTTTACGGGGGGGGGGGGGGGATTTATCTTGACCGCTTACAAGGAGATATCGCTGAATAGGAGTGGCTGCTCATACAGATTCTACTGTAGTATTTTTAAAACACTTATCAGAAATAGTTTGAAATCAATTATCACCACTTGTTATCAAATTGAAGTACTATGCATGGCAGAAGGGATATTCAATAAGGTGGGTAAAATTAGAATTATCCCACTACCTGTTCCTGTTGTCTCTCGTTTAATTATTTGAATCTCCATGTGCTTGATTTTTATTCGAACTAGTAGAAAATAAATCTTCCCAACTATAACATCTTTTAAATGATACCTGAATTCAAAAAGAAGTAAAAGAAAAAAAAAAGAAGAAAACTAAAGGTACAAAAAGTCTATATAAATAGGTGAAGCAGGCAACAGATCTGTACATCTGAAAATAAATATTTCAAACAGTTTTTTGCTGGGTCTTTTTTTTTCAAAACAAATGTAAAGGAATTCTAATCTCATCTAAGAGACATGTTAATTTGAAGGTGCAGAAATAAATTTCATTTCATCAACTCCATAAAACCATTTTCATGCAGTTAAAGAGGCATTATGTTATGAACTAGATAAAAAGCTGGCCATTCTTCCTATAATAGTTAAAAAAACAGGTCATGAAAAAAAAAAAAAAAATGAATTTTAGTCAAATTACGTTATTATGAGCAAAGTAATGTTTAAGTTTTTTTTAACAAGAAACCTGTTTAATTGTGTCTGCCGACCGCTGATTCACATTTTTAATTACCACAATAATAAACAAAGTCTCATGTTATTGTTTAATGTAGATATGGTGGACACTGTCTAATCCACTCAATATCTAATCCATCTAATGTTCTGGAGAGTTAAATATGGGCTTGTCATATGAATAAAAAGGTCTAAATAATAACATTTAAAGCCAGACAAAAAGACCTGCAATAGACAGATTAAACTCCTACACAATGCCTCTTTAAAGAACATTTAAGAAATACTACAAAAAAACATAAAATATATAAACAAGGTAATAAATTACGAGTGAAAAAATAGGACATAAATATCATATAGCTGCAACTGAGGGTTACACCATGTCTAACCTGCTCCAGTTATTTCTCGTCTTACAATAGCTAGTTCCATATAGCGTATCTTTATTCTTACTAGTAAAAAGTAGATTTTACCAACAATAACATCCTTTAGGTGGTACCTCAAAAGTAGGAGAAATTAAAACTAATTTCAAAATAGAACTTCATAATAAAACAAAATTTGGGACCATTTATATTAAATCTTAATACAAACTTAACAAATGTGTATTTCTATTGGCAAAGGACATTGTTCTTAGTTATTTCTATCAAATTAACCTGTACCTTGTAAAGAACACAATTATTGGTTATTAAACAGTTGCTATTAATTTGATGTGATTTGCTAAAATCTGTTTGAATTAGAATGTATGCAAAATTTGATACTGATCTTCTTTGTAGTAGTTTTAACTGTAAAATAACTGTAAAAGAAGATAAAATTAAAATATATGCTTACTTTGACTTGTTATATTCAAATTCTATATGCAAACAATCTTCTATACCAACTTCCATTTTAATACTATTGTTCATTTCTGGGTAATGTGATAATGTATGTACAATTATATCTTGCTCTTTTACCACATCACTGAGACGTTTAACTATTGTTACTCTTAAAAAATAGCTGAAAAAAACCCCAAAACTATATAAACATATTTTTAAATTAAAAACTATATTAACATATTTGTTAACATTTATTGAATGATACAAAGTCACTAAAGGAAAGTTATACAAGGTCAAGAGTTACTTCAAATAACAGCTATTACCTATTGTCTATTACAATTACTATCTTATTTTAAAAACTGTGTATGACTTTGAGTCTGGAATTCAACCAATGTAGACACAATTTATCAAAAGACCGAAAAGTATTTTCCTGATTTAAATTTAACAAAACTAAGAGATCAAAGGTATTCAAAGACCCCTGAACTAATACTTTTAATGATAAAACCAAAACACGAGGTCTCAAAAATCTTGGGCAGAAATGAATTACATGTATTGTTAAGACATCAACAGATGATCACCAGAATTTAAAGATGACAATGTGAAATCAAAGTGAAAGTAATATGAATATTTAGGTTTCATTCTGTTTAATTGATTGTGCATGATTTGGAAAGACTTTATCAGCCTTTTATTCTTGACAAGTTGTACAAACAAGCCTAAAATTATTAATTTAAACAATACACAAGGAGGTATTTTTCCAAGGCAAAATAATTATTTTGTTGATGAATTCCAAAGATCACATGAAACATTCTAGACATGGATAGGATTACACTCACCGTAATCTAACATTAGCTCCTGTGTAAGACTCATATGGTTTCTCCACTTGCTGGAATTCAAAATTATAATTTGTGTTTTGTACAAGCTCTCCAGGTCTGGCCAGCTCTTTAACAAGTGATGTGAACTCATGATGATTACCTCTATCATAATATAATTCTGTTAAATAAAAAATAGATATATACAGGTACAGTGACCAAAGAATCTGGATTAGCACATGGTAATGACACTAATTTTATGGCCATCATTTAAATCTATGTTTTAGTTACATATTTCATTTTCTGTATTCAGAGAATTCAGAGTACTGAGTTCGCAACTTGTTAAAAAAAAAGACTAAAAAAAAAAGTTGTGATTAAAATTTACCTATTTGACCAATAAATTCTATTTTAATTCCCTGATGTTCTAGTTTACTTCCTGGTTTCTTTAAGGTAACATTCACCTTAAAAATAAAATAACCACTGTATATGGATTAATTGATTTAAAATGAAAATCAGTGTTTGACAAATATTAACTTGAACACCTAATTTCTGGCCCTTCTTCACTAACTTTTGTAGACCAAATGCCTTAACCATAAAACTGGTTGATAGAAAAATCAATAAAGCCTATTGAAAACCTGAAATGAAATGGGGTTCAACGCCTTACTTGCCCCCATCCCCCACCCCACCGGATGCCCTACACCCACTCCAATTGAAAATTCATCAACAAACATGTTAATTGTGAGTTCATTACAGACATAGATGTAACCTCTTCATACTATTGAGTATACACGTGCAAATGGAATATTTGAACAAAAATTAATTATACAATGTATAAAACACTAGTGATGGTCCAATATGGCTACTACTACTATGGGTTTTACCGATATCAGATATTGACAGCCAACTATTTCAGCCGAATTACCGATAGTGGGGTCGTGGTGGATATAAAACTACTACACATTAACATGCCCCGAATGTCATGATAATCGATTTAGATACATGTCATTGTTAGTCAGGAAATGCCTAATGTTCTTTGAAGGAATAATTGGATCACACTTCCTACGCAGTTAAAAATACATACATGTATGCTATATGATTAATAAAGTCGAGATTATCAGTCATTAAATGTTGATTACGAAATAGTTCCCTAAATTGACCGGCATCTATGATATCTATAAAAAAGTCTATTAGGAACTTAACTTATGTGTTTAAAATATTATGGATTAATAAAGTATGATCTATATTATGAGTTATCAAATTATGTCTACATTTTTAAAGTATGATCTATGTTAATAATTATGAGTCATTAAGAGTACATAACGATACAAATGATTAAATTATGTCTAAATTTTAATATCTAAATTTAATACTCTGATTTTGATTATCATGCAATCAATCTGATTAAAACACAGATCCTATTTCGTTTTGATTTTTATAGTTCAAAATTTGGTTTTACTTGTCTTTACTAGAGTTATATAACCCGTGTTCCTGTTGATGTAAGTGATAAGCCAATGAAATGGTCTGTTATGATGAATTTTTTGCGTGAGGTGCACAGAACTTCGGGTAAACCATTAGAAACATCAATGCTGATTGATTAATCAATGTCTGACATCATAAGGTCAAAAGTTGCCTGTGTAACACCGGACGCGACGTTTCACTACAACTGGTCAGATCTTCATGTAGTGTAGGCCATTGAAAGTATAAAAAAAATGAAACGATTTATAGATCTGTATTTTAATCAGATTGTCATTCAATGAGCTTATTCAATATTCCAGTCAGATGTTTTATCGGGTAGACTGTTGTATGTTAATGTCTGTTTGCAATTCAATCTGATTAAAACACAGATCCTATTTCGTTTCGTTTTTTATAGTTCAAAATTTCGTTTTACTTGTCTTCACGACACTAGGATCTGGAAGAGTTGTTATATACTCTTCAAAAAAAGTAGGGGATGTTGAAATGCAAATACCTATGCAGGTTGTGATATGATAAATAGTCATGGACACTCGACATGCTTTGAGAGTATGTGCACAGATGAAGAACTTATCGCCCCAACAGAACCACTGAGCTGCACATGTGACACGCAATAGTGCCATACAAGTGGGAGGGGTTCATTGTCAAATTTGACACTTCAAGGAAGGGTTGATGAAAACTGCCGCCTGCTGGTTTATCTATCTAGGTTTGCTTTCCTATCGGTTCTTGCATAAAATTTACTGTTTAGCGTATCTTTGCTTTAATGTGTTACGTTTAATTTGATCCGAAGCCCTACACTTTTTAATTCTTATGTCTTTGTTACGTAAGAAATCTTCGTTAGAAAACAATTTTGTCTGCTTTTTATCGTGTATTACTATTTTTGTTCAATCGGGCGCACCTTGATTAACTAGACACACGCGATATAAATAATGATATTTTACGGGAATTGTTACTTTGATTTATCATTTTACAATACGTTAACATGTATTTATTTTTTTATATTTTATTTAAAATATGTGGGGGATACACTGGATTTATTTCTTTCAAAATGAAAACTGATATAATTACTTGAAATTGACATGTTTCGGAACGCGAGTGGAACTACTTGATTCTCCATTTCCGGTTTAATAGTACCCGGTAACTATTCATAGAGTTATGTCCTTGTATTATATAGTAATGAATTGTGTCTGGGTAGTTTGAGAAGAAAATGTCACACGGAGAATTCAGTTTTGTTTACAAAATTTTATTTGACATTTTATACATGTTGGAATTGTTGAGAAAGCCTTCTAGTCTTCAAAATGTGGATTATTCTTGTGTCAATATCCAATATGACAGGCATATTAATGATTCGCAGTTACTGCGAATCAAAAACTTTAATTTTTGATTAGGAACGGACAAAATATATATCGCAAATTGCACTGCGATACTGGTTGTCGGCAGCCCTGATTATGTCTAAATAGCCACGGGCACAGCAACTAAAACAAAAGTACCGAGTGTCAAGGCTAAGCAAATAATGATTTGTTCACAACTCGAATGATATTTTAAGGTATTTACTGAGTCCTTTTGAACAGATATCGGTGACTCCAGTATCAGAAAAATGGCCCCCGAGTATCGGCCGGTACCGATAGGCTACTTATACTATAGGCCAATTAGTAGAATTACCGATGTTGTAACCGATTATTGGACCATCACTACAAAACACGAACCGTAATTGTTAAACTAAAGGTTTAGTAATAAATCTATACCTTTCCAGACACTGTTTCACCATCAAAATATAAATAATATCTTTCTTTTTTGCCATCTTCTGTTTTGATTTCTGCTGTTTTTCTAGAGTCTTGGCCATCTAAAATAATATCTACTTCCGCACTCTGACCAAAACCAAAGAAACTCTGCAAAAAACAATTATAATATAAAACAATTGGGGTGTATGGTACAAATGTACCAAGATTTTAACTTTTGAGGTTCAATGTAAGCTTATCTAATAGACCATTCTTTTTTTATTTCATCATTTTTGTCTGCATTATCTCAGTATTAATAAGTGTAGACCAATGACAAGCATCATCAAAATCATGTTAACAAACGACTGTAGGACAGGATTCAGAAAAAGACCATAACACTTAAAGGTTCCTTCCAACTTAATTTATGTCCCACAGCAATCTTATTAAAATACAGATCTATATTTCGTTTCATTTTTTTTTATACTTAGATGGCCTACACTACATAAAGATCTGACCACTTGTAGTGGGAGCTTTTGACCCTATTACGTCAGACATATGATTAACCAATTAGCATTGATGTTTCTAGTAGGATACCCACAGTTCTATGCATGGCACGTCAAGAACATGCCGTAACAGACTGTTTCATTGGCTAATCGAAATGAAATGGGGTTTAACGTCCTACTGTTCTGCTCCTATGCTGGGCTAATGAAGACGGGCATACGCCATACAGTGTACTATGACAAGGGGGAACCACGCCGGCATTGGCTAATCACTGCCATCAAGACATAAACGAGGAATTCAAGGTAAACTTGTTACACATCATGGTGTGTCTTTAAATACATGTACCAACTATAATATTGGATCTGAACTGAAACTGTACTACGCTTACAGTACATTTTCATAACAATTTCACAATTAAACACAAAATATTAACAGTTATTCAAATTTAGTAATTTTTTTATAGATTAAAATATCTAACTTGCTGATACAGTACATGTCTAAATCTTTAGTTTTATAACTATCAACCCTCAATGCAAATGTCCATTTATTCATCCTCAACACTTTGTTTTTGACTAGTCACATATCACTGATATCGGTAGTCAGAGTCTCGGTCCAGTCAGGTTGATTAAAAAAGTTAAGGTAATAACTTTAAAGACCAGCGGCTGCCAGGCAGGATACGCCCACATTTTGCAAGAGATGAATAGAGAACAAGCTAAAACAAAAAGTGATTTTTCGTGCAATTAAGGGCCATAATTCAGGAAGTTATGATCCGATATGCGCGAATATAGACAGGAACAAAGATCTTTGGGTTATAAAAATTGATTTCAAGTTTCATCAAAATCGGATAAAAATTGTGACTTCTACACGGTCCACAACCTTGATATACCATATATTTACACTATTTACGTACAAGCGGCAACCATTTTGTACGGCAGTTTTGGTCTGATTTTCACGAAATTCAAACTCAGCCGTCATTAGGGTGTAACGATAAAATATTCAAATGTTTTTTCAATTGGATAAAAATTGTGACCTCTAGAGGGACCACAAGCTAAAAATGCAATTTTTCGTACAATCAAGGGCCATAATTCAGGAAGTTACAATCTGATATGCACAAATATCAAAAGGAACCAAGACCTTTGGGGTATAAAGATTGATTTCAAGTTTCAAACGTTTTTTTTATTTGGATAAAAATTGGGACCTCAAGAGGAACCACAAGCTAAAAACCTGATTTTCCGTACAATCAAGGGCCATAATTCAGGAAGTTACACATGTATGATCCGATATGCACGAATATCGAAAGGAACCAAGACCTTTGGAATATAAATATGTACTTCAAGGTTCATCGAAATTGGATCCAAATTGTGGCCTCTAGAGGGTCCACAACCTTGATATACCACATATTTACACTATTTGCGTATGAGGGGCGACCATTTTATCTGGCAATTGTGGTCCGATTTTCACAAAATTCATTAGGGTGCAACGGTAATATTCAAACATTTTTTTTTTTTTAAATCGGATAAAAATAGTTACCTCTAGAGTGACCACAAGCTAAAAACATGATTTTTCGTACAATCAAGGGCCATAATTCAGGAAGTTATCTGATGCACGAATTATGAAAGAAACCCAGATCTTTTGGTTTAAACAAGTATTTCAAGTTTCATCAAAATCAGATCAAAATTAAGAACTCTAGAGGGTCCACAACCTTGATATACCATATTTTTACACTCTTTGTGTATGAGGGTTGGCCATTTTGTCCGGCAGTTTTGGTTCGATTTATACAAAGGTTATTATTTTAATTCGGATAATAATTGTGACCTATAGTGGGACCACAAGCTAAAAACACAATTTTTCGTACAATCATGGGCAATAATTCAGGAAGTTACGATCCGATATGTGCAAATATCAATAAGAACCAAGATCTTTGGGTCATAAACATGCATTTTAAGTTTCATCAAAATCAGATGAAAATTGTGACCCCTAAGAGTGTCCAAAAGCTAAAAACGTGATTTTTTGTACAATCAGGGGCCATAATCCAGGAAGTTCTGTTCCGATATATGCCAATATCAATAGGAACTGAGATCTTTAGGAGATAGACTTATATTTTAAGTTTCGTCAAAATCGAATAAAAATTGTGACCTGTAGAGTGTCCACAAACAAATTGTGGACGATGTCCGGACGGACAGACAGGGTCGACGACAATATATGTCTACATGAAAATGTGGGCGTATTAAAATGAACTGGGGATGACCAAGTTCAGATTTTGTCATTGATACTGTATGGTTGAAAGGTTTTTAATCTTATGATCCTGTGAAGTTCTATTAATTCGACTATTAGTGGTAGATTTGGGAAGGTCCAGGTTGGTACCCAATGGTTTAAAATATTTGATAGTCTGGATTTTGACTAGAGTGGCTCGGTAGGTGTATATTTTAATTTTAATAATCTGAATTTTGGCATACCCCATTCATTTTCTTTGTTTATAAACCTTTCCCCCTGGGTGATAAACCTTTCACACTGGGTGTTCCAACTTTGGATTTTTTTTTTTAGCTTTCCAACCCTCTCACAGGTGTTACACCAACACCCTTCTACTAATATACTATGTACATAGATCCATAGATGACACTCTGACATTACATCACAATCACACACTTGACGTCATAGGAACCATACAATTTCAAACCAAAATGGAAGCCTGTCAAGAATGTGGCAAAATTCTGTCAAAGCAGTGTCACTTACTCAGACACTTGGGAGAAAGACACAAACCCACCTTCACAGGATGCGGGGAATGTGCAAAACAGTTCCGCAGGAAGGAATATCTTAGAAAACACTGATGCAAGGGTGCTATACCTACTGAGGAACTGGACAAATCACCTATTATAACAGACACTCTTCAAACCATCATAGATAATACTACTGGGGATTTTGATCATTCCACCCCGATCACCACTTGCGCAGCTGTCACCATTCCAGCGACTCAGGCTTCACCTCAACAACGTATCTCACAAAATGAAGCCTCACCGAGCACTAGTCAGAGTCACACAACAGTCTTGGGCGCCCCATTACCATCGTTTCAGAACGGAGCTGAAACGTGGAAGATTTTACACTCCAGCAGAAGCAACATCTGGAGGGATCGAGATCCACATGTAGACCCTCTCTTTCGGGTCCCGATCCAGATTCAATTAGCAGATGCTATCCAGCAGGACCCACTACTTGAACCACAGCTTTCGGAAACAGATTTCTTCTATTCATCCATTATTTCTGGCCTAGTTTACAATAATAATTTCCATAATATTCTACCTTTTTTTCTTTTCTTTTCTCGTCAATCAGTCTTACACTTCTTTGACTAGGACTATTTATATTATCTACACTGTGTAAATATGCCCCCCTAATTAAGTTTTGGCAAAATGGGACACCTGGTCTTAATTCCCACCCAAGCTTTTACGGTTATACACAAACCCTGACAGATTCCAAACCCGTGTACAAGGCAAACTTGTGAACCCCGGTAATAACCACCCCGGGGTCCCAACACAGTATATATATCGAACCTCACAAAGTGAGATTAATCAGTCTGAAGAGTTCAATGTCAGTGGAACTAAGTGCTACACGTAAATAAGGATAACTGGTTTAATTGCCCATTTTATCTACTCTTAGACTTAAAAGCTTACATACATATGTACATTATAAGAATATTGCATACATGTGTATTTAAAAGCATACCTTTACATTTTTAAATACAAAATTAAATTGTTTAATATGTACATTTGTAAGTACCAGTAGTTCAAGTAAGGAATATCATTAATTTATATTAGTAAATTGGAATCTTTAAAAAATAATAGAATATTCAGTCATTTATTGCTTTGCTTCCTTTTACCAAGCTACTTCATTGGCAGGATGGGATGTACATGTATTTTTAACAGGGTGTTGTGAACTGTTGTGCCGCACATACTGACTGAGGTAAGCAAGGTCTTATTTTCTCACTAAAATGTTCCTTTACATTGTACTGCCGTTCACAGACACACAACTGTTTTGCAGTCAGAAGATATCCAGAAAAATGAATGGAGAGTCAAAAGGTTTCCACAAAGACCCAATAATTACATGTAGGCCAATGTAGAGGATAAGTGTGACAAGTCTTACATTTAGAGCTGAATACTGTGGTATTAGCGGCAATGCTGGGATACTATATATGTATAGTATGCAAAGTATGCATATATTGAATGCTAGCCTGTAGAAAACAGCAACAATCATGACTGCAATTCATTTTTAGTATTTACATGATGATAGGTAATTAGGTTTATGTTTTAATGAAGTCAGACTTTTCATTGTCCAACAATATGTTTAGAACATGAATTGAAATACATTTAATTTCTTGGTAAGAATACTTCTGCCTTTTCATATTTCATCAGACATGCATTACAACAATATTTTATTTCTGGTCTTTGATTGATCGTGAAAAGGGCCTAAATGAGAAGATGTCATGTGATGCAAACACCCACTTTCTGAATCTTGTCTGCCCTTTTTTCTAGCTGTCAAATGGGAACATATAAAACAATGCACTCAAAGTTACAATACGTCATGTATTCTCACTATTTTGAATTTATAATAAGTCTGCATGACAGAGTGTTTTAAGTGTATTGCCCGCTTAAAATTGATAATAAATAATACCATTTTTGTTGAGAGTGAGTTTCTGGTTAGTTCACGTCTAAATCCAATATGGCTTCCCCTTGACCTCACGTTGCAAACGAGATTTCGTATCTACAGCATTTCCTTTAGCAAAATAATTTTGGGAAAATAACACAACGAATTAAGTTTGCGCAAATACAACCAAGTAAGATAGAAAGTTTAATACATTCCTGTTCTAATATATTTCTTTCGCAATATTATTTAAGTCTCGATCGATTTGTCATAACTCTTACATTGGATTGGAGGATTCAATGTCAAGCACCTGCAGACGGTGTAAGCTGTTTCGTAACCTGGCTGTTTCGTACTTAGTTCATTCGTACCTCGCATGAGCCGTTTCGTACTAAACTTCGTACCTCAAATTGATTCGTACCTTTCCCGATGTTGTTGAAATCAGTTGAAAGAAATTTAATATGCCGAACCAAGATTAGAATTATACACGAGATTTGTACCTCAAATTGATTAGTTCCTTTTGCTAAATGTAGTTGAAAGAAATTGAAATAAAGGTGTAAAATAATTAAACGATTTGATCAAATCTAACGGCTGCGCTTAATTTATAGTAATGGCTACCGAACGGGGAGACACGGGCTTACATTTTACGCATATTAGGAATTCCGCGATGTGTGTTATAATTTCCCGCTTCTGCAGTATATTTTGGATTTCAGAAATAAAACATATACGCACATATGGCATGCAAATAATACAATTACTGTTTATTACTGAGCAACATTTCATCTAAGATTGTCGAGGACTGATTAGCCTAGGTCCCCTATAAATGACATCCCTCTCTCTCTTTCTCACAAGACTAAACTTTTAAGGCATTATGTAAAAGTAAGCGATAATAGCGATGCGTCCATTAAAAGCGTTATGGCTGACCAATAAGACCGTGTAGAATCTTGACTGGGTCGTATTTCAAGAAATTGAGTGTCTGGTTGAACAAGAGTGACAAAGGCGGCATCTACCTACCGGAAGCACATGTACTTGAGAAAAGTAAACGTCGAGTAAAGTAAAGCGTTATTTGGTCTAGAAGAGATTGTCTTTCTATTTGGTTGAATTGAATTTATTTGGTAAGAATGTATCCAGATGAATATATTTGAATAAGCAGGCCGTTTTTCGATTCTTGATATCTTCTCGTCCAAAACTGGCTCCGCTGTGTTAGTGTTAGCACTAGCAGTGCCAGTAGGCCAACTATAATAATTTTTAAACTGTAAGATAATAAGATAAGATTTTATTGTATCGAAACATCCATTGAGAACAGCATACAATATAAACATGTACATAAATTTATAACAATATGACAAATAATTTACAAACAAGACAAATGGTAATTTTAATCTAGGTTACACATTTACTAACCGGACATAATCATCTCCTCAGACATTTTACCTCAAACTGGTCTGATAATTACTACGAAAGCCCAGGGCCCTGTTTCTCGAAATCTTAACTAAAGATAAAATCCAAATTTTAGTAGATACTTCAATTTTGATTGGCTAAACACTAAAATCAATCTAATATTATCCAATCAAATTACTAAAATTTGAATTTTATCTTAGTTAAAATTTTGTGAAACAGGCCCCAGAACTGCAGAAGTGGCAGAAGGCTCATTTCAAATTCCAAATGCGAAATTCCAAATCTGATCTGAGGTTTGCTTCGGCAGATGTGAACAGTTTGGTGATCGGTTGCGTATCAGTAGTAGTACTTGATCACTTACTCGGTTCCTCCAGTGTAAAAGTTCCACGGATATTGAATGTAAAGGTCAAATAGGCAGACACTTATCTTCTTTGCAGCAGCCATGATGATTATAATGTTACATGATCATTTGGAAACTAGTAATTTGGAAAGTGTGTTTATCCGGCCCAGACATCAGATAGGTAAACTACATGTAGCACTAATTAGTTGTGTAAAATTACAATTTATTTAAATTCTAATCTGTTTAATTGAGGGGGGCTGCCAATTTGCTATTTTATTGGAATTTGGAATGAGCCTTCTGGGCTTTCGTACATAATTACACAAAATTTCAACAAGTATGATGAATCGATGAATGGGTATAAATATTATTAATACATGAATATCGGAAAGACTTAGTATAGGTGTTGACATGGAAATATGATATAGGAATGCTAGAAGCATACATGAATCGAGTAATAAAACATGGAATGAAATATATTAATACATGTAGCTCTACACAATTTATCTTCTTAGATTCATTGCATGGAATACAAACAAACTGATTTTGCAACTGTTTTGGGTGAGTTGAATAGATATTCTAGAGAATAGAGTACCGGTAGATATTATCTGTAAATGTTGGGTAGATGTGACCGGTACGTAAATTTTCATCCAATGGACATTCTAGTAAAAAATGTGCTTCATCTTCAGTTTTGTGCATAGAGCATTGTTGGCATATTCTTAGTTCTGGGGGGACATTTTTGTATCTGCCCATTTCAATTTGAAGTGAGTGTGAACTAAGTCAGGAGTGCGGTCATGGCTGTTTTAAAGTTCTTATTATGTACATAACAGAGATATTCGTCAGGTTTATAGATTTTCGTTTTAAATAAGCCATAAGTCCTAAGCTTTGTAGCTTTAAATGGGCTGGAGTGGCATGAATCGGTGAAAAGGGAGTTGAATTTGGATTGAAGTGATGATTTGAATTTAATTTTAGTAAGGTTTGACGGATTTATATTGAAATAATTTAAGTGTGTTATACTGGCAATCCATGAAATTTTAATATTAGACTTCGGTATTTTAATATCATCATTGACATTATAGTGTTCGGCCAGTTTCGGGTTTGAATCTTTCATGTCCGGATGGTTTAATCTTTTATATTAGAGTAGCATTCTATGGTATATATCTAGTACTACTATAGCTAGTACATGTACATGTAGCTTCTAAAATTCATTAGCCACTGTGGCTAATGCTAGCTGCAATTTTTAGCCGTGATAATTCTTATCTACGGCTGCAATTGATACGCTATTCAAGGCTTTGAGCAAGTAAAATTAGGTTCAATTGCAAAATTTTCAACATGTATCATCACAGTTTGCATGGAAATAAGTAATTATGTTACAAATAGTGAAGAGTGGAACACTGAAATCATAATCTTATCTTACCTAACAGTTTTTCTGTATTTTCGAGTAACCTGACACCAAGTGATTCTGGTTTGGCGCTATTTTAAAGTGAACAGAAATTTTGCATAACAATTGGGTTTAATCAAATCATATAAATATACAGTAAGGTTTCACCTTTATTTCAATGGGAATAGGTTTATTATATGTTAAGCTATGTACAGTACAGTTTGGGGTCAGTGTTACTGGAAATTAAGGCAGTTATAGGCCAGTAACTTTTTTGTAGTCAATTGACTACAAAACTTGCTGAAAGGAAGGCCTTAAGACGGTCCACTACTGTGGCTGGAGCAAGATGGAAGAGACATCAGTAGTGGAACCATTTCTATGGCTAATGCATGAAAAAAGTATTAGGCCTAGCCACTATACATTTTTCATTAGGCAGTGACCCCATGAAAAGTTTTTTGCATGCTAATCTCGGTATACAGTCTATATTAAGGATGTAACATTTTAAAGCTTACAGCAAGTGCTAGGAGTAATAATATCAATGCAAAAGGTTTTTTATAAATTTGAATTTGACTAAACCTGAATATTTACTGGCATTCCAACTCTCCTCCCATTTAAGAAAGTAAAATAATATTCAAAATCGATTAAGAAATAAGTTATTTCACTTTTAAGACTCAAACTTTACAACCCATAGACAATAATTCAGGCTTATTTTAGCATTATATGATAAGACTTACCATAAAAACTTCATTTATCAACAATCAAAGTCTGGCCAAGTTTGATTTTTGAAGATATAACCATTTTGCCATGTTTGAAAAATTGGTTGAAATTATGTTTGGAGCACATTATCAAGGCAGTTAACTCTTTGTGACAAAACGAGTTATGGTTCTTGGTCAAAATAAAAGTAGAATTAAGTTCCTGGAACGAATATTTCTTCATCACAGTTGGGAAACATCATTTATTTTCTTGCCACGAAGTAACAGAATACACCCTACGAGATGATTGAATTTTCAACATCTGTATGCATGCGCAAACGCTTAGTTTTTTTTTTACGATATGCTGACGCCATCAAATGTCCTAATATTAACTACTTAAATTGTTACAGTGGCAATTAAAATACACATTTAGCTGGATATCACAAGATCAACGTTTAACATGGATTGTTTGAAGATCAGCCTAATATTAAAATGAATAGTAGTTCCATCTCTGTATCCCCACAGACATCGTCTGTTTATAATGGCATTTGTGTGATTGAGAGATAGAGAGAGATCTATAAATCTAATAATTTAACACTTCAGTCGCATAGATTAATAAATACATGTATATTGTGCAGTATGAAGTTTGTTATGAAAAAAAGAACAATTTGTCGGATAAAATAGAGAAGAATATAATGGCATGTAATACAATTTTGGTTTATATTTCCAGGTCATCATGTCTAATGCTCCAAATCACACAATCTACATCAACAATCTTAATGAAAAGATTAAGAAGGATGGTAAGATTTCAATGTTTATGTTATTGTAGCAAATTGAAAAAAAAATCACCGACGTATAAGTTATGGTCAATCTAATGCAGTGGTTCTCAACCTTTTTTTTTACCAACGGCTCACCTTGGAACACATGAAAAAATAGCGACACACCTGGCTAAATATATATGAAATTGAATTTTGCAAAATAAAAACATGGTAAGTCAGACGGAATACAACCATAGACAGAGACTAGTCATAGACACAAACTAAATAAAGAAAAACACAGCTATTAACTTATCAGTAGACACCAGTGAATACTCAATAGGGATCACTTGGTTTTTATACGCCTACATGGAAATGTGGACGTATATTGCCGTCGCCCCTGTCCGTCCGTCCGTCCACAATTTCTTGTGAACGCTCTAACTCTAAAAGTTATTATCCGATTGTTTTAGAATTGACATATGTTGATTACATTAGTGAGATGAAGAAGCCTATTTGATTTCAATAATTTCTGTTCATTACATCTAGAGTTATGGCCCTTGTTTTACTTTGTTGAACCTTGTGAATGGTATTACGCCAAAAGTTATGATCCGATCTTTGTG